CAAACAGTAAATAACAATAACTTGATAAAACGTAGTAGAAAAAGATGTTATGTGAGATGCACTCTGCAGAAGCAAACTCAACTGGTTTAACACCAGGTATGCAAAGAGGACAGACACAAGGGACCTTGCGCAGGAGAGGGGAGAGATCAGTAGATTTATATTGTAGTCATCCCAGAACAGAAAGGACCAATTTGGATGGCTCTGAAAGAGGCTCAGACATAATTATGAAGGAGAAGGATATCAATGGCTACTCAACTTTGCTCATCTATGTAGACCTGGACCTGGTATTTCAATATATTTAATGTATTAGTAGATCACTTTAATAAGGGACACAGGCTGATAGGACTTGCTGATCAGAAGGTTGGCAGTTCGAATCCCCGCGACGGGGTGAGCTCCCATTGCTCAGTCCCAGCTCCTGCCAACCTAGCAGTTCGAAAGCATGTCAAAGTGCAAGTAGATAAATAGGTACCACTCCGGCGGGAAGGTAAACGGCGTTTCCGTGCGCTGCTCTGGTTTGCCAGAAGCGGCTTAGTCATGCTGGACACATGACCTGGAAGCTGTCTGCAGACAAACGCCAGCTCCCTTGGCCTATAGAGCGAGATGAGCACCGCAACCCCAGAGTTGGTCACGACTGGACCTAATGGTCAGGGGTCCCTTTACCTTTACCTTTTAGATCACTTTAATGCAGGTTACTTATGCCTTAGCTGTTAGAGCGATCCCGTAAGGCTGAATGCAGCCCACTCCTGCCTTAGAAGGTGCTCTCAATCTCAGCTCTTTAGGGTGGCATATTCAGAATGAAGTTGCTGGGTGGTGGTACACCCTGCTTAGAAGGAAAATGAGATGGGGCAATTACCTGTGGAGAAGCAGGATATGCATTGGGGTGAAAAGACACCAGGGAGCTGTGCATGTGATGCACCTCCCATACCCTTTTCCTGCAGCTCAATCAGGCTCTTGCACAGAGGCAGTAATCTGGCCTCGCCCAATCCTCTGACTGAAATCTGACACTGCATAGATAGCTGTTCCTTCTGCAGGGCAAGCTATCTGCATTTGTAATTTCCCCAAAGTTGGAACATGGCCACTGCTGAAGCTGGTGCTGCGTTGCAGCTCTGGAGAATTTTAAAGGATCCCTTACTTAGGAAGCAGGATCCTTGCAAAGGATGCTGCTGTAAAATGTCTCCTGCGGCAGCACGCTTACCATAACTGAGATCCTGTATGTCCACAACATCTCAAGGGCACCTGGCTGGAGAAAGCTGGGATAAAATACTGTGCTGGATCAGAAAAGGTGGGGAATAGCGGTGTGTGGCCTTCTAAATCTTGTAGGACTGCAACTCCCAGATGCCCTGACAATGGTCAGGGATGATGGGAATTGTAGTCTAGCAACTTCTGGAGGGCTACAGGTTTACCAGCCTGGCCTTAGGGTAAGGTAAAGGTAAAGGGACCCCTGACCATTAGGTCCAGTCATGGCCGACTCTTTTTTTTTTTTAAATGATATTTATTGAGATTTCAAAAACAAAAAATTACATAAAAGACAATGAAAAATATAGGAAAAAAAATTAAAAAGAGAAAAAACATACAAAATGCAAAGTATATAAAAAAAATATATAGAAAGAACACTTAGAAACAAATTTATCCTTTCATATCTTACATTTCATTTCCTTGCTTTCCTGACCTCCTCTCACCTCCCTTTTTTGTATTCCGGTTCAATTGGTTAATTCAGCAATTCCTTTCCCTCTTTGTTTTTGTCTTAGTCCTTTAACTTAATATATTATAGCTTTAAATTCTCACCTATTAACCAGCCATTTTTTCATATACCTTTATGACATTGCTGCTAGAACCACTTAATTTCATTCTGACATCATTCTAACATTCATTAATTTTACAATTTTTCTGTAAGTAGTCTTTAAATTTCTTCCAATCTTCTTTCACCGACTCTTCACCCTGGTCTCGGATTCTGCCAGTCATTTCCGCCACAGTCGTGGCCGACTCTGGGGTTGCGGTGCACATCTCGCTTTATTGGCCGAGGGAGCCGGCATACAGCTTCCGGGTCATGTGGCCAGCATGACTAAACCGCTTCTGGCGAACCATAGCAGCGCAAGGAAACGCCGTTTAGCTTCCCGCTGGAGCAGTACCTATTTATCTACTTGCACTGTGTGCTTTTGAACTGCTAGGTTGGCAGGAGCTGGGACTGAGCAACAGAAGCTCACCCCATCGCAGGGATTCGAACTGCCAATCTTCTGATCGGCAAGCCCAGGACGTAAATAAGAATATGTGAGAGAGGGGTGCTGTTTTTGTGTTATTATGGTATATATCAAATTGTAAACCGCCCTCTGATCTTCAAATGAAGGGTGGTATAGAAATAATAATAATAATTAATCAATCAATCAAATTAAGAATCCCCCCACGTGCTGGTGGCTGCAAAGGCAAGCCTGATGATTGTGGGCATCAGCCCTGCTGGATGGCTAATCCTGGGAAGCGACTGTTGTTGTCAGCATGTGCTGTTGTTACAGGGAGAAGAGCTGGTTACTGAAGGGGAGGAAGGGGGGCAGTCTTTGTGTATTTAGCACAAGAGGCAGGCTTGGGGGTTCAGAACTGGAATGGGAGCCTTAAGGCAGGACCCAGCTGTGCAGGGGAGAGAGGCTGCCCAGAGAGCCTTGCATGGCTGGCTGGGGTGGGGTCAGGACTTAGTGGCTGCGTGGCAAGGGAGTGGGAGAGGGTACTGCTGCTCCCATCCCTCCAGGCTCCCCCCCCCCCCTCACTCATGGCTCATGCTCTGCATTTTGGCTCCAGAAATGTGTTTTGTCTCTCTGGAAAGTGGGAATGAAAAACTACAGGAAATGAACATCCCGCAAGGGAGGGGGGAATGGCGGGGGAGCCTCATTACCGTATTTGCAGGGCTATAGTGGGCAACAGAGGAAGGAAGCAGTACCGTAATTGCATTGCAGATGCAAAGAGGCAGGGCAGTTGCAGAAGCTGCGCCTTAGAGAGTCTAGAAAAGAGAACTTTGGGTGACTTTGCACAGCGGTGAGGGCGCCCTGGGGAGGTGGGGAGGTAGGGCAAACTCCCAAAATGAGAAAAGACCACAAGAGGCAATCACTGCCATTATTAAAACCCTTTAAAGGGCATCAACAAAGAAGGCATAGTGGCCCCCATATGATAATGCTAGGGAACAGGGTGGGGTGGGGATGTGGCATATAGGTCATACATTTAAAGCATGTGCCCCACAAACAATGCTGGGAACTGTAGTTTGTTTGGGTGCTGGGAATTGTAGCTCTGTGAAGGGGTAAACTGCGGTTCCCAGAATTCTTGGTGGGCAGTGGGACGTGTTTTAAATGTATGGTGTGTACACAGCCTAAATATTCCTTCTCTCTGAATGTAACACTGAGCTGAAGTTCTGTGCATACTTACTTGGACCAAGCCCCATTAGCCCCTGTTGGATTTACTCCTGAGTAAACATGCACATAGATTAAAAAGAGCAACAGGGAACAAAGTGACCTACGTAATCTTGGCTGTTGCTATTCTGATGATGCAATAAATGCCCCCTGACCATAGCTGGCCCTTTTGGGTGTCGTGCATCCAAGAGGTGATGTAATACATAGCATAAGGTGGTATTCTGGATGCGGGTGGAGAAAACAGATGCTTCCCACCCCCTGAAGCACATCTCAGGCTGCTCGATAGTGCACCACATCTTCTTTGCCAATCCCTTCTTGTTCTGTGCGATGGCCACCCTGAAGCTGTCGGATTGGCCTGATCTAGAAGAAAGAGAAGAGGAGACTCTTGGTCTAGACTCCTGCAATCCAGTTTGGTTTGTAGGTAGTGGATCCAGCAATTTGTTGGGCTGCTGCGAAATTGCTCTTCCATTGATTCTGGCAGAGGGGGTTTAAATGGCTGTCTGGGGCCCAACTGCAGTGCTATTTGGTGGAGGAAGTAATGGCGGACTACAATGGCTCGCTTTCCTTTCTGGGCTATACAACAGGGGAGAGGAACCTGTGGCCCAGCAGACATTGTGAGGCCCCTACTCCTAACAGCCTCAGCCAGTGATCAGGCATGATGGAGCTGTAGTCCAGCATCTTCAGGGGGGCCTCAAGTTCTCCAGGCTTGTTGTAAAAGAATGATTGCTCAGCTGCATGTGGCAACCAGCTACGTGGCCACCTGTTCTCCTGGACACATGCCCCTTGTGTCCAACGACAGGACTGAGAAGCAGCAAGACAATGCTGAGTGCATGGGTCTCAGTGCAACCAGGGCTGAATCATTAAATGCCTGGTTTTACCACCTTCTTTTTCCTCCCACCTCTGCTGCGACCCCCAATAAGCTTCATTAACTACAAACCCCCAAATTTGGGATCCCTTCCAAACCCTTCGTAGGGTTTTGTATTCAGATTGTAGGTTTTTGTAGGGTGAGCCCCACGTTTTCTGGGGCTTCCCAAACTGAGTAATTGATACTTCAAACCAGGGTTTTGTAGTTAACACCCAGAAAGCAACAATTGTCTGATTCACTTCAAACCTGTGCCAGTGTTTTGCACAAAACGGTTACAAGACCCAGAAAAGGTTTGGAGGGGATCCAAAATTTCAGGGTTTAGAGTTAACGAAGCTTCCTCTGTGTTTTATTTAAGCCAGTCCCTGTGTGAGAGTCCTGTAGTTTCCTAGGGCTAGCTGGTTTGCCCCTTCTGCTGCTCCTTCCTCTACCACAGCGCTATCGATTTTTTCCCATATATAGACTGAGCTTCCAGCCATGGCTGTGCACTCGGGCTTTGTCCATAGTGTCCTCTCTGCCCCTCCCTGTCCCTAATCCATTGCTATCTAGGAGGCTGGATCTTCCCAGTGTAAATAAGGATGATGTTAAAGAGATAAAGGGCTTAGAGTCCAGGCAGGGAGGGGTGCGGCTGGAAAGCAGCAGATTGTAGCAGGGAAGTTATGGTAGCTGGAAGCGGGCTGGCTGGGAACTGGTCTTTACTTGGCTGTCCCAGCACCAGCACACAGGCAGGGTGCCCAGTCTCCTCCCAGTCTCTGTCTCCCTTCCATGCCTCTGGCTCTGAAGCCAAGGGCGGTGGGAGAAGGTGAGCGGGACCCGCTGCATCATGAAAACCCCACCACGGGCAGGGGGGCGCACGGACCAGATGCTGGGGGCAATGGGGGATATCCTGACATCGCTGGCGCTACCCAGCCAACAGTGGGTAAGGGGGAAAGAAGACTTGGCCAAGGCAGCGAGGCAAGGAAAGGGGCAGACCTGACTGCAGAGTGGAGGATGTGCGGGAGAGGCGGGAGAGGCAGGAGTTGTTTGTGGGCCAGCTCTGTTGTTGGTTGCGGTCTGCCCAGGAAGGAGTGCCGTGCTTGAGAGGCGGTTCTGCTGCCATGCTTTGACTGTGCATTTGAGGAAAGGTGGGGGGGTGGCAGGGATGGAAAACAGCTCCCCAGCAAAGCAGGCTGGTCCTGTCAGAAACCCTTTGCTCCGCACCAGACCCAGTGTGGAAGAGACTGAAACTAATATGTTGCATCTGGCCTTTTGTACAGCACCTAGCACACAGACATCCCCAAAGGAACATTCTCTACTGATCCCTTGGCTGAGGCATGTCAGGGTGCCTTGTGGTGCAGATAGACACTTCTGTTTGTTTGCTTGTTTTGAAAGTCTGCCGTTGGCCCCAGATCAAAGGTTTCCCAATCCTGCCTGCCTAGGGCCCTTTCTCAATCCTCCAGGCACCTCCAGCCCTGAGGACGAGGGAGCGAGAGCCTCTCTCTGCCTTCTGTTCTCCTTGCTTCTGACTAAGCTGAGATCCCTAGGCATTGGGGTGAGTTTTCCCATTCCCCCCCCCCTTGTTATTTAATGATTCTTACTGGCCCCTGTGATGTGGCAATGTTCTCTCTGGGGATTTCTGTTCTGATCTTTTGCTCCAGGCTGGAGCTGTGCTTCCCCACCCCCAGCGCTGATATCCTCAGTCTGGGATGGAAAAGTCAGCTTGTGGGGTGTGGGGTGGAGCAGTGCTGCAGGGTGGGGCAAGCACAGCTCGAGTGGAAAAGTAAAGCTTGGAAGGCTGGGCTTAAAAATATATATATTCTCTTTGGAAATCTCCAGTCTTTGCATAACTAAATGGGCTGCATTGGACGAGGCTGGTAAGTTACTGGGAGGGCTTTTCACAGCGGAGGACAGTGTTCTGTGGCCTCTGTGGGTTTTGTGCAGTACAGTGGGGTTTTTGTAGGGTTTTTCTGAATCAGCGGTGGATGGCACTTGTTGGGCTGGAAGGTAGGGAGCCCAGCAGTTAAGTGGGGCCAGAGCCAATGGCAAGCAGTGCCAACCCATTCTTGTTTTGACCCCATTGTCCTCCCTGCTGAGTTCTACAAGGGCAATGCAGAGACTAAGGAGAAGGAAGATGTCAGGAAAGGGCCCTCCTGGTTGCAAGGAGGAAGGCAGGCAGGTGGCGGCTTAGCTGAGGGCAGACTGAGGTTGTTGGGGCACTGCCCCCTTTGCCCTGAGGGACCGGCCTCCCCTGTTCTGAACTGTCTATAGTGGGGGTTTTGGCGTTATACTGGCTAGAGAGCCCTTTAGATGTTGTGGGGGGGGCGGTGTCACTGGGGTACTCCAGTTTCTTGGTAGATCACACTTCATGGGCATCTTGACCCATTTTTATTAATGAGGCTTTTTAAAGGGGGGAAAACCCATGCCTGTCATTGAGACATTGTTTCTTCATTGACTAAAATGTATTCTCAGTTTCAAATTGACTCTCTTTCACTTTCTGATTCGCATTAATGACAGTAGCCCATGGCGTACAGATGTCGAGCAAGAGATCACATCTATGTAATACTTTCGAAGCACCATTATACCACTCTAGCCATCCTGGAGAATCCTGGAGATTGCAGTTTGTTAGAGAGTGAGAGGTCAACGCCCTTCGAAACAAAACAGTGCCCCCTGTGGTTCTCAGGACTCCCCATTACTGTTGAAGTGATATAATCGTGATTTCAGTGCATGGCGTGGATGTGACCAGGGAGAGAGAGGAAGAAAGAAAGTACAGTAAATTCCGAAAGAGAAAAGTGCTTTCCAGTTGGCCAAGGTGATAGCTCTGGCTTCTCATTTGTGATGCAGTTTGAATAGGTAAGAAACTGCTGGTCCAGGGGTCTTCTCCAGGGACTGAGAGGGACCTCTCCTGTTTTTACATTCTCCACATACTGCAATGTTCAGGGGAAGGAGCAGCAATTACAGATTATGTCTGGCCAGTAAGCCAAGCCAACAGCTGAGGACACCTGCCCAAAGGCCCTTTCTGTATCAACAGGTGGGGGAGAACATCCTTGAAATCCACTGAGTTACTGAAGGCCACCCCCCTTAGTGGACTGCATCTTGCATGGTAGCACTTTACTAGCTCACAGAAATCTTTCCTAGCCTATTTGCACAGCCACGTCTTCCAGGTGCACTTTTGAAAATCCTTGCTGTCGCAGATGAACACACACTGGCCCATCCCCAGAGTTTATCACCATGGAATCTGTAATCTGTAGCGTTTTGCTGGCCAGAAAGAGAAAAGAAGTCAACTTTCTCCCCCAGGTAGTCACCTATAGGAGAACTTTTACTCACTGCGGATAACCAGATTGTGGGGAGGGGTTATTTGCAAGCCTGGTGTGATGATGCAGGTGGGTGTCTTCTAGCACCTGAGTTTTGCTGGATGGGACAGTGACCCTTCAGCATGGAACATGGGGTGGAGCACATGCTTCTCTAAGGGCACGGTTGCTTTATATAGGCTTACTCACATGCCAGAACCCTGATGCCTCTCCAGCATCTTCCGCCTGAGGTGCTCACATCCACTCTGCCTAATGGTAGGGCCAGCTCAGGCTATATGGAGTAGGGTGGCAAGAGACAAAGGAGCTTCTGTAACTTTTAACAGGTGCGCAGGCATACTAACTTGTGCTGAGAGAAACTGTATCTCCTGGGATACTTTTTCTCCACACCTCTAAAAGATAGAGGAGTCCTGTCCTCCTTCGGATCTGGTCATTCTAATCTGGAGGTGTTTGAAGGAGATGTCAAATCCCAAGAAAGAGGCCACAACAGTGAAAGGGGTACTACAGAGTCAAGTGATTAGCAATAGACTGCAGGACAGACAGAATAAACTATTCCTCCCTCCCCCCCGCCCACTATGCACATTTAACTTATTGGAACTCTCTGCCACAAGGTGTGATGGCTGCTGGCTTAGATTGTCATGAATTCATAGGTGATGCAACTGTTGATGGATGTTAGCTGCAGCTTAGGGATGTGGCCTTTCAGTTGTCTTGGACTACAATTCCCAGCATCCCTGACTACTGACCACACTGGCTGGGTCCAATGGGAGTTGGAGTCCAACAAATTGGAGCCATTCCTCTCATGTTTGCACTGCTTTCACTTGAGGTTTCCACACATATTTGAGGCGAGTTAGGTGGCTGCCAGGCAGGGCCTTCTTAGTGATGGCACCTCAGTTGTGAAATTAACACTCCAGAGAGGTCCACTGGTGCTTACTTTGCTGTCCTTTTGGCACCAGGCAAAGACCTTTCCATTCTTCTAAGCCTTTTATAGATTCAGTTTTTATCCTGCTCACTGTTTAATGAAAAATATAATAAAATATTTTTGGCTGAAATCTATTTGCTCTCCTTTTACCCTCTTGTTTCTGCTCTCCTCTTATCTACCTGTAAAAACCTCTTGTATCTTCCCAGTATCTACACACCATCTTCCAGTTGCTTAGTCAAAAACCTACTCTAGGGCTCTGACTTCCTTCTCTCACTCCAAAGAGCATTATAAAACACGGAAGCCTCAGATCTGTGATTACAAACTACCCAGTCATGCCAAAAGTCCATTTGGCCTGTAAGATAAGGCTATCAATGGATGCTGGTCATGGTAGCTACGGTATATATTACCTCCAGGCAGGAGTGCCAACTTGAATAAAAGATGGGGAGGGAGGGCAGGTAAGCCCTGCCCCATATAATATAGCACAAAACACTGCACACACACACACACACACACACACACACACACACACACACCACCCATTTGAATGGTAATGCCCATCACCTTTGAGGAGAGACCCACTCAACTATTTTATTGGGGAGACCTCTGTTTGTAGGAGTTGGCTCCTATGCCTCCAGGCTTCAGAGGACATCTGCCTCCCCTTACCAGTTGCTAGAGACTACAGGCAGGAGAGTGCTGTTGCCCTCAGGTCCTGCTTGTGGGCTTCTGGTTGGCCATTGGGGTGTCAGAATGCCAGACCAGATGGACCAGGCCAGCTAGGTTCCAGTTCAACAGTGCTTCCTAAAGTGGCCAGATGAATGCGTCCAGGACACCCAAAAGCAGGAGTTGAAGGTAATGGCGTGCCCTTGTTGTTTATCGTCAACATTTGGGATTCAGAAGTATATTTTCTCAAAACTTGGGTGTGCCTTTTAACTTTCAAGTTAATAGCTACTGATAGGCCTCTCTCATTCAGTGGGAAAAGAGAGTTCATTCTTAATGGGGCAGAGTTCATCTCTGTGGGGCAAGACCTCTTTCTCAGCTCCCCTTCCCCACTCTCATCCCAATTGGGACCATCTGCATAATGTAAAATATGGACTGGACTCCTCCTTTTGCAAGGCTCTGAGAATCCCAGCTTCCTTGTCTGCTCTGATTCTCTTAAATGTAAGATTCTAGTCCTCACAGCTGAAGATGCTTGAAAATGAGTTGGCCACAAAATAAGAGGTAGAAAAGAAATGAGACCGTCATATTTTTCAGCTGTCATTATGTCTAAAGCTGTGTAAGTTTCTCCCCTCCCCTTCCCCAGGCTCTCAGATTTTTCTCATTTGTGGGAAACAACAAACAACTTGAATAAGAATATGGTGTGATGAGTGCAATATGTCTGCCAACTGTAGCTCTGGCATCCTCTGTGCTAATGAAAATGATCTGCAGACGATGCTAATTGCCTGCATCTAAAATATGCCCATTAGTGGCTGCTCTCCAGCTTGTGATCTATATCCCAGGACCTAGGCTGATCCTCCCCATAACAAACAGCTTGCACGCATCCACCCCTAAAAACCTGAACTGTTTTCCCCCTCCCGGCCTGTGCTTAATTGCAGCTGCCAGACCTCTGCTCCCAAAAGGAGGGAGCTGAGATGCAGCCCCAGGCCAGCAGCAGCAGCGCTGAGGCTTCCTCCAAGGACGACAGGGAACAGCAGCCTGCGGAAGTACAGCATGCGGCCCCTGAAGCCCAAGCCACAGAAGGAGGTGAGCATCATTGTCTCATGAATATGCTTTGTCCCGTGTTAAGCTGGCTCCCCAGCCTTTCCAGGGCTGCTGAGGGAAGGAGACAGCCTGGCCATTTCCTTTTCTCTTACCATAAGGTTGCCAGATTTTTGTCAATGAATCCGGGGACACTTTTCAACTTTAATGGATTTTGTATGGGGACAGATTTGTAAATCCGGGGACCGTCCCTGGGAAACAGGGACGTCTGGTAACCTTATCTTACCGTGCTCCAAGCCCCCCTGTTTATTGTGCATTCAATATGGTTTACTGGGACTGACCTAAGCCTTCCTTTCCTATAAATGTGTGTCCCGTAGCTTGCTGCTGAAATCCTGTAAGGTTTCAAGGCGCAAATGCTTCTGCAGTTTCTTTCTTTCTTTCCACCGTGCTTGGGTTGTGCTGTGGTGCAAAAGTGCCCTTCCAGACAGCAATAACATGGTAGCACTGAGGAGGCGTCACACAGCATCGAATAAAGCGGAGTGGTGCATGGACCATCCAGTGACGCACCTTCCACTAATGCACTGTGATTACATCAATGACACATTGCTGAATACACCCGTGAAAGACCACCACTCTGGAGGGGCCTCAAGGCATGTTCCCTCATCCCAGAGCCACCAGCACTGGCGGAGGAAGGGGGGTGCGGCGGGTGCGGCCCACCCCGGGTGTCATCCCTGAGGGGGGTGACATTGGCCCCTGGGATGCTTGCCCCACCCCCGGGTGCACAGCATGTACGCTGCTCCAGGCTTCCCTGGGGAGCTTCCTCCATGAGTGGGCCTTAATAGCAGCTGTGCATTCATTGCCATTAGCCTAGCGCTGTCTATTGTGCCTATAGCAGTGGTTCCCCAAGGCTCTTTCTAGCCCCCCTGCCTGAGCTCCTTTAAAAGGAGGTGCTGGTCTCTGACTTTTTGCAAGCATGGCGTCACAGTCTCCATCACTGGAGTCAGACCCTTCCAGCCTGGTCCATCTAGCCCAGTATTGTCCACCGCGACTGACGGTCGCTCTCCAGGGTTCCAGACAGGGAATATTCCCAGCCCTTCCTGGAGGTTTGAACCTGGGAATTGGCACTGAACTGCGGCACCCCCCAAACAGATTCTTTTTGGTGGGATGCCAGATCTAAAGCTGGTCCTAGGATGGTGGGGTAACCACTCACGAAAGAGTGGTTCTTCCCTTGACATTTAGAGGATCAAGCAGAAAACCACTTGGACCCATGTTTTCTAGGCAGGGTGCAAGCGGAAGTGTGAAGGAACCCTCTCAGCCAGAGCAGGACCTTTCCTGTGTTTTGCAAACCTTGGGCCTCATTGATCTGCAAACCTTGGGCCTAACTGGCAGGAAGGGTGGGGTATAAACCGAATGAATGAATGAATGAATGCTAAATAAGCTGCTATTTATTTATTGTTTGTTTGTTTTTGGTCTGAAGGGTGAGGTAAAAATGCTTGAAATAAATAGATACATGCAAGCAGCTCTTTCTGTTGGAGAAAAGCAGCTCTGGGGAGGGCAGTTTGAAGCTAAGAAGCACAAGCTGGGTGATAACTTTCCCCCTGGCTGCTTTTTCCAGAGCAGTTATTTCCCCAAAGGTCCTTTTCCCAAAAAAGGCTCCAGGCTCATGGTTATGGTAGGGGACCTGCTTTGCACCCAGAAGGTCATAGACTGAATTCCTGATCTTTTCAGGTAGGGTAAGCTCCTGTCTGAAACCTGGAAGAGCTGCTACCAGCCAGTGTGAAGCAGGGATGGGGAACCTGTGGCTCTCTGGTTGTTGCTGAACTCCCAGCTCAAGGATGGTGGGAGTTGTGGACTAACAGTATTTGGAGGGCCACAGCCCCTCCAACTCTGGTGCAGATTTCTGAGCTAGACGGGCAAATGGCTTTGATTCTGCACAAGGCATCTTCCTATGTCTTTGCAAACCGACATTTGGAATACTGCCAGGCAATAAGCGGTGGAGGTAGGGGATATCTTTCAGTTGGAAATGGCCGGCAAAGCATCCATTCAAAGCATCTGCCTCCCCAGGTTGCTTTTAAGTTCAAAGCAAAACTGATGGGCTGTTATAGACAGGTATACATATATGTAGTTTGCCACTATGGTCCAAACAAAACATGACAGTGGGAGATCTGTGCAGAAAGGAAGATTTAATATTTATTTCCCTAGTTTACAAAAACCCTCATCTCTGCTAATTGCCCTGTGGTCTAGTTGTACCCTAAATCATGTATGAATGATATTGCAGTGCATTAATCCGACTCTCAGAGCATCATTTTGGAGATTGTCTTCAAGGGATTTCCCCACATTTGTGTCTTCATAGCCTAAAAGCTACACTGTTTCCACGCTGTGGCATAAATACATGTTTTGTCAGCTTGTCCCAAGTGACCAGTCGTAATGGAAGTATGAATAAGAAAAATAATCATAGAAGTTGGCTGCAGGCTGCCCCTCGGCCAAAACTGTCTCAGTAAAGGTAACTGATCATCCTGGCAATCCAAATCCCCCTCCTGGGTCATCTGCTATGCTGTGCTGTGTTGCCTGAAATGGTTGGTACTCCTGAAAATGTAGCAAACACCTTCATATTGGCAAGGGGCTTGTTGTGTGTCATGCGTTGCCATTGTGTTATTGCTGCTTTCCTATTGACTGAAGGCTAATTGAGATGATATATCAGGGAGATTTTTTTTACATCTTTTACATGCTGTGTAAAGCTTGAGGCTGTGGAAAAGACAAATCAACAACATGGAACTGGGAAGAGGAAATGGGGACAGAGGGGCACTGGTGGCAATGAAATGGGCAGCATGGAAGTGCAAGTGAGTTGTTCTTCCTGATAAGTGGGCAAGCCTTTATTGTAGGAATGGGGGGGAACTGTGACCCTCCAAATGTTGCTGGACTCCCTCCTCCTTGACTGTTGGCCATGCTGCCTGGAGCTTATGGGAGTTTTAGTTCAATAGCATCTGAATACCCACAGGCTTCCCATTACTGCTGTGGGGTCACCAGATATAGAGTTATTCTAACCTAAAAGTTACAGAGCATAGACAACCGAGGTGAAGTTATCCCTGTCCAGAGAGGGTCATAGCTGGGCCATCAGAGGAGGCTGATAGAAGGCACTCCATGCCACCAAGGCCACTTGCCTCAAGTGACAGAAGTGGAGTGTAACCCCATCCAGAACAGGTTGAGCTCCACCCAACTAGTTAGTGGCTCAGTCTTATCTGTTGGCCAGTCCATTTGTTGATCAAGATGGGGGTCTTAAGAGGCTCTTAAGCACAATCAAATGAATTCTCATACCCTGTGAACCACGGATGCATGAGGAGCAAGTCTCTGTCCTTCAACCTTGGTCCAAGCAGACACAGCACAATACATGCAAGTAGAATTCGAGTGGAAGTTTGTTTGTTTGTTTGTTTGTTTGTTTGTTTGTTTGTTTGTTTGCTTAGAGTAAATCATAGGAGTGAGAGCCGATCTGGATGAGGACTGCAGTGGGGGCAGGCAAGGAACCAAAGCCTACTTATCCCTCACCGGGGTGTGATCCAGACTGGGGTCTCGTGTCTGCTGTGTACTCTTGCAAAACAACATTTCATGAACACTGACTTGTCTAGAATGGCAAAATTAGTGAACCACCTTGTGGGGGCAATTGTGTGGATGAAGCGGGTAAGCAATATAAAGGAGTTGGCATTCAAGGTCTATTGCCGTCAAGAAGTTGTTGCTGTTGTCCTTTCTATGGGACCTCTATAAACCAAGCAGCACACATAAAACAAAGTAAAAAGACACAGCAGGCTCTGCCCTCAGGATTACATTCTGAGTAAAACATCTTGTATGAGGGGGATGTTGGGAAAAGGGCAAGTTTAGAGGAAGATGAAGGGAAGAAGCCATTTATTTTTTTAATGGGATTTTGTACAGTGGAAGGAACCAGACACATGCCAGAAGGGGAGAGGATGTTCTAATGGTGGCAAGCAGCAAGGGAGACAGTGTGCAGTCAAGGAATCGGGGATTTGATTCTGCCTTTATGGGGCCCAAGACTTCCAAAGGATGGAGAAGGGGCATAGAAAAATATATATTTTTTGGCCGGCTGGGGGGATAGCTCAGCCAGTGGGAACAAGGGAATGAAGATAGAAAGAGGGAGACAAATTCAGGAAAGAGTAACTTGATCATAGCAACGAGCAGAACAAATTAGGCGAGTGGAATAATTAAAAACAGAAGCAAAAGGATTGATGGAAAAGGCAGGAAGACCAAGCAAGAGAGCAGCTGCAAGAGTCAGTTCAAGAAGGAATGGGGAGAAGGAACGAAAGCTTCAGCTGGCTGTGGAATATGTGTTCTTAGAATAACTAGCAGCTTGCAGGATGGTTTCCATGAACAACAGGCAGGAAGGCAAAACAAGCTAGGAATACTCCAGACCCATTTACATCTCTCTAGTGATGTCTTATGTGCAGAGATGAAAATAGGAAGCTGCCTTGTGCTGAGCCATAGGCTATGGGTGAAATTCAGTGCAGCACTATGTGGGTTATGCACTCTGGGAGCAAGGTCTGCTTGTGCAACAGGATCCTCTTCCTGTCCTCTTCCTCCCCACACCCTCCCAGCTCAGTATTATCTGCACTGACTGACAGTGGCTCTATGATCTCAGAAAGGGGTCTCTCCCCCAGGCCCACCTTGAGATGCCAGGGGTGTAACCTGGAACCGTTGCATGCAGAGCAGATGCTCCACCCACTTGGTTACGGACCAAAGTGGGTGGAGGTGGAGGCAGGCACCCTGCCTGTTCCATCTGCTTGGCAGTCAGAGAGGTGGGAACATGAGCGTTTTGCCTTCCTTGGTTCTCCAGTAAATGCCAAGTCTTACTGCTATTAACAAGTTTCTCCTCGCATATAGGGTGCCAGGGGAGGGGGGGGGCAGGGAAGGAAGTTCTTGTAATCCATGTGCCCTGCACATGAACCCCCAGCTAGCACAGCTGATGGTCAGGGATGATGGGGTTCGGAGTCCAACCACATCTGGAAGGTATCACATTGGCTACCCATTCACTGTTGTATGAAGTAAGCCAGACTCCAACAACCTGGATCTGGAAGAGGGCTGGTGGCCTCCAACTCTGTATTAGGGTCTTGGGGAGGAATGTTTTGTTCTGCCAAGAGCTGGGCTGGTGGCTCTGTTTCTCATCCAGAAGCAACCTTAATTGACCATTGCTGTGGCCTAAACAAGAACAAGAGTAGCCCTGCTGGCCTTAACATCCTGTTCTCACAGTGGCCAACCAGATGTCTCTATGGGAAGTCTGCAAGCAGGACATGACTGCAACAGCCCTCTGGCATTCAGAGGCAGGATGCCACAGAAACTGAAGGTAGTTCACAGCCAGCATGGCTAGTAGCCATTGATAGCCTTAACCACCTCCAAGCAGGTGGCCATCGCTTTGGGATAGCAAAGCTGCCGCCTGCTGTATTTCCAGTGAATCCATTATCTGCGGCTTTTTCTCACCCCTTCAGAAGGTTTTTGTCAAGTGGGAAGTAGAATAGCCAGCTAATTAAAAGGGCAAAGCTGAGATATTCTAATCCACTTGAGCAATAGTGATCATAGGATGATCAGAGGATGATCCCAACCCAGTCAGATGGGCAGCAAACAAATAATTATTAATATTAGTATTAGTACGTGGCAGGGTTGTTTCCACCCCCTCCCAATGTTTCAAATCTCATTTGCACGTCTGCCTACACATCTGTGCGGTTGGATGTCCCCTGTCTGTCCACACCAGAGGGTTGAGAAGGGGTGTGGATATCTTCATATGGCTTATGTTTTCAAATCAGATCAAAGCCGGTTTGTGGTAGAGGAGAAAACATATAAAAATGCAGTATTTTTCAAGAAACTACAGGATAGATATGGATTGGGGCTAACGCCATGAGTTCATGGCTCAGTGGGAGCATGCTGGACACAGATTAAACAGGAGTGTCTGCACAGCATAAGGGTGTGATGGCATGTGTGTGTCTCAGTCCCTTTCCCCAAGGATATTCTCCTGCACCCCCAGCTTAGTATTGCTACAAACTGATTGGACTCTGTTTTCCCCATTTACCAATGCTAACCCGGTGGGCATTTTAGAAGAAAAGTGTCTTGACATATGTCCATGAAAGATTGCCACTCTCCTTCCTGCCCTGCCTCCACAGCAGATGTACAATCCACACACACACTGCTGCTCTGCTTCTTGTTTCTGCCACTCTTCTGTGCTCTTTTTATCTACTCTTCCCCAGTTGTTGCTGGACTGCAGTTCCTATCATCCCTGACCATTGCTATGCTGACTGGGGCTGATGGGAATTGGAGTACAACAACATTTGGCAAGCACCACGTTGGGGAAAGCTGCCCTCTGTCTAAGCTGATTTGCCATCAGATCTTACTGTGTGTGAGAGATCCAGATCTGCAAACATTCAGCCATTCTCCTGTTCCAGTGGCATTCTGGCTGCAGTGATCCTGGTCCTCTCCCTTGCCTCCCTCCTTTCCCTAATTAATTTAACATCCACCCAATTAATTTAACATTCATTTCCTCCTGGGAATTGTAGTTTGGAAGGGGAAGGAGGCACATGAATAAAGCTTCTGAACAGATCATTCTTAGCACCTTCCAAGAAACCATGGCAGCTTATGTAATACAAAACCAAAATAAGTTTATGATCAGGGACATAGCATTACTAACATATAAAAGGCTTGAGGAGTGACGACTGATGAGCATATAATAAGCTCTTTGAGAATTGGAGTTTATTCACGAATCCTTAGCATATAAAACCTCAGGATGGTGTATGGCTATGTGTATTATATTTATATAAATCACCTGCCATATACTGTGTTAATCTTAAGGGCATATGAACATTAGAAAACTGTTTTGCTCTCTGGTTCCCGCCCCTTTCTGTTTGCTCTTACTCTCCTTTGTATCATTTATCAAAAAATATTGTTGACAATTGTAAACTTGTCTATTGATAGTGAATTGCCTTTAATTCTTTTCTGGATGTTTATATTGGAAATTAATCTTTTGCACTATTTTTTGTTGCTGCTACTGCAAATATAAGCCTTGCAAATGTGGCTACAGGGTAAGGCAAGTACCTAAGACTGTCAGGGTGCTTATATCCAGAATTATAATTTATTTAACTGCATCTATACCCCACACCATTGCCAAAAAGGCTCTCAGAGCAGCTAACAAAAATCAGTACTGAGAATGCCAACAGGCTCACAGTCTAAAAAGGCATGACACACAAGGAAAAAAGAATGGGAGGAAGGAGAGGAAAGCAAGTTCAAGCACAAGTTCATAGTTGCAGCTGAGGTCAGTGGCTGCTCTGGTTGTCTTGCCTTTCGCCAGTATCGATAGCAGTAAAGAAGCAACCGTTCCTGAGATCTTAAAACCAAAGAGCCAGGCTTTGAGCTGTGCCTGAAAGCAATGCTCACAAGAAGCTGTCCTTGTCTCCCCCAATATTTTTGGATTTACTGTGACAGAAAAGGGCCCTGGAATGCTGAGCTGGTAGAATGGATTGTACCACATCAAATTGCAGGTGAAGGATGTCCTTTCTGAAGGCTTCCTTATCTAAGGAATTTTATCCCTGCAAGTAAAATGCACAAGGGGGAAAAGGTTCTGTCCAGACCTATTTCCTCATTTGACTGCTTGTGTAAACCAGCCCAACAAATGTGAACTTGAGTTGGGCGGGTTCAAAGTGCCCCTGGGAAAAGATTTAGCCTCTGGGCACCCCATTCTCCCAAGGCCAACACTAGCCATTGCATTGTGCTGATTCTAAGAAGCTAGGAAATGTCTTCAGGTGAATACTCAAGCAGCTTGTATAAGGGCTATATGCTTCAGCTAAACTCTCTAAGGCAGGGAGAGGGAACTGGTGGACTTCAGATGTAGATGGACTATGGCTCCCATCATCCTTGACTCTTGACTAAGTTAGCTAGGGCTGATGGGATTTGGAGTCCATCCTTGGTAATGAGGGAAATAGAATTCTGTTCCCCATACATGTTGTTAGGGGAGGGTGGTTCAGTGCATGTGGCAGGGAATGAGCTCTCACACACCCCTCTGTGTGAAAGCATGGACATGGTGGCCAAAGATGAATGAGGTTCTGTGTCTTCATATAATGAAAAGAAGAATTAACAGACCGTGCACTAGACTGGGACTGCTTTATAATGCAGCCAACATTTCAGACACTCACCAAGCACTTTTGTGTCACATTGTGGCATACACACACAATGTAGGTTAAGAGTTAGTGACATGCTTCCTGCTTAAGCAAGGATTTGAAGCTGGATTTTCCCAGTCTTAGTTTGACAGTCTTAACCACCACCCTGACTTGGCCAATCGCCACATGTATCTGCTTCACTTGAACCTGGGGCTCATAAATGCAGCACTCCTGATTTGTGCACATCACAAAACGAATGTGTGTGTGTGTGTGTGTGTGATTGTCATGTGACTGTTTCCACATGCATTCTGTTTTCCTGCGTGCAATTGCTTTCTGCGTAGGAAACGTGGAACATTTGCAAGCAGCCCTGAGCTCCCACCCAGCACCCAGTCACCCACCCTTGCACACTGGGGACAGGAAATAGCTGCGCAAGGAGGCCATCTCAATATGGGATAGATCCTGGGGGTGGGAGTAGGTCTGTCTGGCTCTTCCCACACCTATTTATGGAACCGTGTGTGTGTGTGTGTGTGTGTGTGTGTGTGTGTGTGTCCCCTCTGCACGCGGAAACAAAATGCAACGGTACTGAACCCCCGCAGCCTAAAGGCAGGAGTTGTTTGTTGCCCGTTCCTGGGCATTCCCTAACTTTGTGCTTTCTGAATAGTCGCCCCCCCCCCTTTCCCTTGTACGTGCGGAACCCCGCTTCTGATTTGTTCCTTCTCTCCTCTCTCCCCCACGCGGGCACGATCGTGGCTGCCAGCTCCTGACCCCGGCGCTGCGCCCACGGAGTCTTCCTCTTCCATCTCTGCCCCCCGCCTCCCGCTCGTCCTTACCCTTCGCTCGCCTCCAGGGTGGCGGGGGACGCAGAGAGCTCTGCCGCCCCCCGCTCGCCCGCCGTGCCCGCTGCAGGCTCCACTGCTGCAATGGCTCCGCGGGCGGGGGGTGGAGGCGGCGGCGGCGGCGGCGGTCTGGCTCTGGGAAGCTCTGGAGATCTCGGCGAAGACAGAAGGAGGGAGGCAGAGATGCTGGGGGCGGCGGCGGCGGGAGAGAAGCTGCAGAGGCTCCTCCCCGCCCTGGGCAGTTCCAGCCCAGCCCTGTTGTTCTGTCACTGAGCGCAGGGCTGCGGTGGCGGGAGTCGCCCCCTCCCGCGGGCCCCCTTCCCCGCCCGGCCCGCCGCCGCCGCGCTGCCCCTGCTCCATGGCTGGCACAGTGGGTGACAGAGCCCAGCGCGGCCGGGCGGCACCATGAGGGGCGGGAGCCGGCAAGGCTGCGCCTGCCACCACTTGTTCCGCAAAGTCCTGGCCAAGTGCAGCTGCTGCCCCTCCCGGGCGCGAGGTGAGTGGGGTGGGGCGGGTGGTCCTGGCAGCGACGCTGCTCCCCTCCCTCTCCCCCGTCCACTTTCTCTGGCACGGTCAGGGCCCTGATTCTGCCCTTCCGCCTGCAGAATGAGAGCCCGCTCTCCCCTGCCCACCCCCTGGGTGGGTGCCACCTGCCGGATAACCCAGCGCTGCTTCCTGAAGTGGGCACCAGCATCAAGCAGCGGGGCATGGGCGTTGTCCTTCCTCCCTGCTGGGCAGCCTCACCTGGTGGTCCTGGCTGCTGCCATCTCTTTGGAGCCACTCTCAGGCCCCCGTGGCTGGGGCATCTTCATCTCCTGCTAGCCCCTGGCACTAAAGGGCATTTGCTTTCTATGCTGGGCATCTCTGCGGTTCGCCGGTGCCCAGGCTCTGAGGGATGACTTTCCCCTCGTGGTGTCTCTCGTTGACACCCCCCCCCCCTTATACCAGCCTTCCACTTTTTGCTTCCAGCTTCTTTGCTTTCAAGCAAGGAATGGCACAACACAATGTCTGTGCGTTTGCCAAGCTCATCTTAGAGGTGCCACTCCCTTGTGGCCAGAGTTGATGGGTGCTCACAGGAAGATGGAGTGAGGTGGGGGTGGGTGGGGAGGTGCTGGGAAAAGTTTCTGGCAAGAATCAGGAACGTTTGGGAAATGGGTGGTCCTATGTCTTAGCTGCCAAATTGGGGGTTGGTGGGGACGGAGGTGAGAGAAAAAGTGAAGGGTGTTTGTGCATTCTGTGGCTTCTGGTCCTTCTTTCTGTACACAAGTGTTATTTTTAGCATATATGAATATGCATACATCATGCAGAAGAGAGCATCCCTGCTTCTGTGTGTGCATGATTGTGATTGTGTGTGCACCAAAACAGTGTATTTAGAGTTGCAGAGGTATTTGTGAATTAGAACTCTTCACGCATCTCTTTAGGAGCTGTGTGTGCATCTCTGTGTACATAGGTCTGTCTCTGTGTTCTACCATGCTTGTGGGAGGCTGTGTGCACACAGATGATGTGTGTGCATGGGTGAGAGAGTGTATGTGTGTGTGTGAGGGAGAAGAGAGATACACACACTATGTGTGTGGGGGGGAGGCTGCATGTGTGTAGAAAAAGCTGAGCAGGAGGAAGGTGTGTATGTGTGTTTGTTTGTCCTTTGTGCCTGTGAATGCACATCTAACAGGCTGCGAATGGATTGGCTCCGATACCCTTTTGGTGTGCCATGCTCTGTGTGCAGGCTGGAGAGAGTGTACAGCACACTGTGCATGGACACGTTTTAAAAACAGGAGCGACGCAGATTACAAAGCACTTGGTATGTGGAGATGCCAAGCCAGCCTTCCAGGAGTTGCTGAGCAGAAGGGGTGGGGGTGGGGGTTATGGTGCGCTTCAGGAGCTGGCTGTTGGGTGCCGTTACTTCCCCACTGCTTGCTACTGCCTCTGTTTCCAGCTTGACTTCATTGCCCAGAAAGTCTAGGTTAGGTTTGAAAGCCATTAAGATTGGTGATGGGGAAATGAAAGGGTTATGACCTGAGGAGCTGTAGTGGGGATGGAGGTGGTGTAGAGCCAGGAGCTGTATCCCTGGCATTCTAAGAGTTAAAGCTGATCTTGTATGTGTAGGTATAGAATCATGGGACTGTAGAGGTGGAAGTGACCCTAGATGTCATCTACTCCAACCCCATGCAATGCAGGAATCTTTTACCCAACGTGACCCTGAGATTAAGGGTCTCATGCAGTACTGAAGATAACCACAATCTCTTCTTATACATAGCTCCTTTGCTGATCCTTATGCAGAGGCATAGCTATGGGGGGCATAGCTGGGTTTTTTGCCCCGGGTAAAGCCTCCAGAGGGGCGCCATTGTGGTTCCCAGATAGTGTGTACGCAAATGCACTGGTTATGGCACTGGTTGTATCTGTGGTTTTTTTTATTTCAGTGAATCCTTTCCCCATTGATTCTCTGCTTGTGAGCATGGGCATAGCCAGGATTTATGTTGGGGGGGGGCAGGACTTCAGTTAAGTATTTTTATTTATTTACTTGATTTAGGCGGAGGGCAGCTGTTCCCCTGCCCCCTCTTGGATACACCCATGCTTGCAAGTGTGGGTGGAGGATAAGCACCATCTCTTCTTACACATAACTCCTTTGCTGACCGTTATGTCTAGAAGTCCCTCCTAAAGGCTTGCAGCCTGCCATGTGGAACCTCAGGAAGTTGCAGAGGTTCTGGGCCATGTGCTTGGAAGCAGTGCAGTGCCCTGTCCATGTAGGGTCCTGTCCAGGCCTGTAAGGTCCTTCTGGATGAGAGTGCACCCCACAGCACACCTGATACTCCTCCCTTGCAAAGGAAGCTCCAGCAAAAAAACCCGCATCTGAGCCTGAGAAGGGCCCAGTGGCAAAGGGCATCTGCTTTGCATGCAGAAGTTCCCAGGATCTCCAGGTACATTTTGGAGAGAATCCGTCTAAAACCCTGGAGAGCCACTGGCACTTAGTGAGCTTGGTGGACAAATGATCTGGCACGGTATAAAGCAGCTACCTTTGTTTCTGTGAAGCTTGCCTCATGGAGAATCCTCTGAAATAATACAATTTGAACACTGGGCTTATTTTTGTGTGGAACAGAGCAAGATGCACAGTTGTATATCCATATTATATATGAATGTAAAGGTTCTGTGTCTGTGTGAATTGTGATCCTATACTTGGCTCCAGGGAGTCTTCTCATGTCTTCTGCCCAGGAAGTTCAGCGAGGTGTACATGGTTCTTCTCTCTCCCAACTTTATCCTTCCAACAGTCCTGTGAGGTAGATTAGGCAGAGAGACATAGACTTGCTCAAGCTCATTTGGTGAGCTTTGTGGCCAAGTCAGGATTTGAACCCTGGTCCCTCGGATCCTAATCCAGCACTCTTATCCATTGCACCAAAGTGGAACTTAAGTAGAATCTTATTCTGGATGCTCTTCTCCTTGGGTGTTGACTCTTGATGGGGTTGCTCCCCTCCAAAGGTAACAATGTGTGGGGAAGACAGACCAATTCTGGCACCAGTGACTTATTTGGGGGGAGCCCCACCTTAATTCTATTGTTATGCTCATACTCTAACAGATGAACATTTGGTTAGTATTAAATGATAGTATTAAATAACTCCCAGAGAGAGGTGTGGATTTTTATTTTTTTAAGAGTGTTATATATGCTGGTAAAAGGGACCCCTGACCGCTAAGTCCAGTTGCAGACAACTCAGGGGTTGCGGCTCTCAGATCGCTTTACTGGCCAAGGGAGCTGGCGTTTGTCTGCAGACAGCTTCCGGGTCATGTGGCCAGCATGACTAAGCCGCTTCTGGCGAACCAGAGCAGTGCACGGAAACGCTGTTTACCTTCCCGCCGGAGTGGTACCTCCTGTTTATCTACTTGCACTTTGATGTGCTTTCGAACTGCTAGGTTGGCAGGAGCAGGGACTGAACAACGGGAGCTCACCCCGTTGCGGGGATTCGAACCACCAAGCCTCTGGTTGGCAAGCCCAAGGCTCTGTGGTTTAGACCACAGCACCACCCGCATCCATACATGCTGATATAGTGCACCTACACCTGTAAGTAGCACTGTGATTCTTCTTATCCCAAATGTTGGGTTTGTATCTTTTCATTCATTCCCAGACGTTCTGTGGGTTTTCCTTTTCAAGTTCTCTGCTCCATTTCCACTGGGCCTCCCAAGGGTTCCCAAAATTGGTTGCTGCCCGATTACTTTGATTTGATGGGATTGGAATTGGGCCTCTTGGGTCCGATGAGCAGCTGTAATGATGGTGGCTGTGGCCCTTAGTGAAACTGGAACAGAAGCTGCGGGATCCAGGAAGCCTGACTTCTGTTCCCATCTCTGAGAGAGCAGTTGGGACTTGTGGAGAAGCAGCTGGTATTAATTTCCTCTTCCTGATTCAGAGATCAGAGATGGTTGTCCATGTCCTTTTCCCACAGTCAACTGGCAGAAGTGTCCATTGCTTCCACATTCCCAAGCCCCCTAACCATGGTAACAGATCAAGTGAGAGGCAAGCTAAGCTTCCATTGAGGAAAAAGGGGGCACTCTTATTTAGGAGCCCCCCCCACATTTAGACCTCCTGGTATCGTTGATGTTGTTAAATTTCAGAGAGAGGAGCTCTGTGTTGGGAGTGCAGGTTTGAGGAAAGAGTGCCTTTAAGCATGTGCAGTATGTCTTCTCTCAAACCTTGGAGTGATTGCAGCCAATTCCGGTGCATGTCGTGGGATCAGGGGCAAACATGTCTGCCACAAAGACACATTTCAGCCAAGCGTAAGACTCTGCACCCCTTACTTTAGAAATTAAGCGTTGTGGAAGGATGAGGGTGAGTAGGCGGGACAGACCAGCTCCTCTTGCCTGCTCCACGCCACAGGATGTTCCTTGAGAATCTGACCCTGGAATAAATCCTGGCCCCGGCCCAGGCTTCCGTGACTCACCATTCACGCTGCAGCTGGCTGCTCCGGTTACCAACAACTCCCCCAGTTTAGATATGGCTGGAGCTGCTCCCAGATTGGGCGGTGGGGAGGGGAGCACTTGATATACACTGCCCCCTTCTTTTTCTCCCCACCTCCCTGCTCCCTCACCCATGGCCTCAGCAAACATGGCATGGAAACATTTCCTGTGGTGAACGCTACAAAACGGGTGGAAAATCTGTGTGGCCTAGTGTGAGGAGGCTTCTTGGCTTGAGCCAAGCCAGGTATCGCCAGGGCTTAGATCCGGGAATTGGTCTCATGAAGAAGGCAGGGACTCTGAGCTTGTGCAGAGCGTATTTTCCTCCACATTAAGACAGCTACATGATCTGAAATAGAAGGAAGAGTTTCCAAGTCAGACAGTATCAGGTTTTTGGCAGGCCCGAGGCTTGGCATTTCTCTTTTTAGAAACTCCATTCTGGGGTGGGGTGTGTGCCTGTGTGTTTCTTCTGTCAACCCTAAATAGAGAAAGAAAAGGAACATCATTAATCAAATAATTGCGTTTTTATACCACCACCTTTCTGCCAAGGCAGCCAACATGGTCCGGCTGGATTGCAGTGAATTATCAGTCAGCACTTCTCTCTACCTCTGTGGAGTTTAATGCATTAGAATTCAGGTTATGAGAGAACAGAAGAAGAGCCCTGCTGAATCAGGCCAAAGGCCTCTCTAGTGCATCTTTCTGCAAGAGAACAGCAGCACTCGTGTGATTTCTAGCATATTGCCTCTGGAGGTAATATAGTCACAATGACTAGTAACTATTGATAACCTTATCCTCCAGGGATTTGTTTAATCCCTTTTAAAAGGTAAAGGTACCCCTGCCCGTATGGGCCAGTCTTGCCAGACTCTAGGGTTGTGCGCTCATCTCACTCTATAGGCCGGGAGCCAGCGCTGTCCGCAGACACTTCCGGGTCACGTGGCCAGCGTGACAAGCTGCATCTGGCGAGCCAGCGCAGCACACGGAACGCCGTTTACCTTCCCGCTGGTAAGCGGTCCCTATTTATCTACTTGCACCCGGGGGGTGCTTTCGAACTGCTAAGCCATCCAAATTGGTGGCCATCACCACAGCCTGTGAATTCTTTAGTTTATGTTTGTGGTGTGAAGAAGTACTTCATTTTGTCCGTCCTGAACTTCCAAACATTTGGCTTTCCTATATTATGAGAGAGGGAAGAAAAACTTCTCCATATCTGCTTACTTCACACCATGCATAATTGTTCACCTCTATCACTCAACTTTTCCCCTTCAACTAAATAGTCCCAAATCTTATAACATTACCCCTTAGGAGAGTTGCGCCAACCACTTTATTCACTTTTGGCTGTTCTTTTCAGCTAGTATTTATTGGTTTTACTTATCTCTGGGGAAGGAGCATTGAATTGAAGTATCAGAATTGGAGTATAACTCCCTTTGCATTTTGCCAGCGAGGAGCAGACTGCCTGAGCAGGATGAAAATTCCAACTGGGCAAAGATCTGCTGATTGGAGCCAGGAGCACCTAATACTTTCTACCCAATACCACTCCTGTATGCTCTGTGTTACCTGATTCAGAATATAACTCCCACCCACTAAGTGCCATACCTGCTGCCACAAACATGGATTAGAATCCTTACTTTGCCCCTAAGCATGCGGTGAAAATCTGGGAGAATATCCAACCCTTCCACCAGTTCTTTAGCCACTTTGAGGGTGAGTGCTGCAAGGTGGTTGCAAGGTGATAGAAAACATGTTAACTAAACCTTAGTAAAGGCATAGCCAGGCTGTCACTGTTTTCAGGTGAGATTAAATCACATGCCACCCAAATTCATGTTGCACAAGTATGGTTGGTTAGGAAGTCTAGCACAGCAAACCTGTTTCCCCCAAGATCAGGCTTTCTGTGATATGGAAAGTGATGAGAAAATGCGGTGGAAAATGTGATAACGCTTTCTTTGATGCAATGTCATTTAACTTTCCTGTGAACAAATCAGAATGAAAGCTCCTTAATTAGCCAAAGTTGTCTAATCTCACTAAAAAATCAGGATGAAGGCTCAATAAACACGCCATCTAGAAGCACCTTGATCTTGAGCATATGATGGCCAAGTAATCTCATTATAGGCATTTGTATCTCTCTTCTCCCTTGAACCTGTTTGTCAGGTTCAGAATCGGCCTTACTCTGTCTCCTCTCTCTACTCTGGTGGGTATCCTCCTGCCAGGCGCCCAGAAGCTTCTACAGTTCCTGTCCCAGACAGGAGTGGAGTTGGATGCTATTAGCAGTCTGGATGAAATGGAAGCAGCTCTGCTTATTACCCCACATTCCAGCCTTCCAAAACTATTGCTGTAAACAGTAAATAATTCAGGACGCTGGTCCCTTTATTTCATAGTATAAAGCAGGCTTCCTCAACCTCGGCCCTCCAGATGTTTTTGGCCTACAACTCCAATTATCCCTACCTAGCAGGACCACTGGTCAGGGATGATGGGAATTGTTGTCTCAAAACATCTGGAGGGCCGAGGTTGAAGAAGCCTGGTATAAAGGAATAACCCAGCAAAAGCTGCCATGTAATAAGGATTAATGCACAAGACCCCATTTTGCAACAGCCATCTATTTGGGTCATCATGCTGATTGTGTAGAAGGGCTTGTCTGATGAGTAGAAACCGCCATTTGGATTGCCACAGTGAACATGGAACTGCGATGTGATGAAGAAAGAAAGTAGCTGTAGCAAGCAGACCAGCTGTGCAATATCAGTCCTAATAAATGAAATAATAATAAATGTACCAAGTCAGACCATTGGTCCATCTAGCTCAGTATTGTATAAACTGACTGACAGCTCTCCAGGGTTTCAGACAGGACAGTCCCAACCTAACCTGGAAATGCCAGGAATTGAAACTGGGAACTTTACATACAAACCTCTCCTTCACTGGAGGTTTTTAAGCAGAGGTTGGATGGTCATCTGTCATAAATGCTTTAGTTGATATTCCTGTTTTGCAGGAGGGATTAGACTAGATGACCCTCAGGGTTCCCTTCCAACTCTACGATTTTATGATTCTCCCGATGATCCATAGCCCTTTCCCAAGCTATTTTGGTGAAGGATGGGCAAGCTTTTGAGTTTTGCTGAGCTTTGTCTAGAAGAATAGAAAGGTGACCTGTGTGTGTGTGGTTACTTCTAGCATTACTTTTTCCTTCCCTGTATTCTGAAGAGGTGTCTAGAGATCAACACAGATGAATAGGCTTTTTAAACCAGAAAATGATCTCTGAGGATGTGACTCAGGTTCGTGTCTGCCTGCCATCCTTTCAGATGGTTTGTGATACATAAGAACTGCCTTGCTCAATGAAACCAAGATCCATCTAGCCTGCTCCAAAATTCATTAGGCAGACATGTTAGGCAGATACATAAATTCTAAAGTCCCTATGAGTTGCTTCCCTTATGTGCATCTTGACCAGAATGTGAAATGCTGGTCTAACACATGGTTCTATGGAGAGAAAAAGGGTTCTTGCTAAAGCAGATTCTTATAGCCATTTGAAGTTGAGAGTGCTTGAAGTTGCTCTGCCTCAAGGTAACTTACCTGGCGACCTACTCTAAACCACGAGATTCAGTGTGTGCAACTTCTGGTCTTTAACAACCTGATAGGAGCTGAGGTCTGTGGAGCATCCTTTGGACCTGGGAAGGCAGGGCTATTCTGACATGAAGGTAGAGTAGTCTACTGGTGAAGGTCCAAACTAGACATGATGTTAAATGCATAGTTGCATTTAAAATACCTAGTTCTTTCTTACCCATCGCCCATGCAGGTGGTGTTCCTTAGTTCATTAACTAGTTTGGTTACCTTAGGGAAGCCACACTTCGTCAGACACTGCCTGCTAATCTGCAATGTGAATTGGTGCATGGTTTTTGAAACTTGAAGGCACTATATGCTGTATAAATACTAACTGTATAAATAAATTATAGTGCTGTATAAATACTAACTGTGGTTACAATAAACAGCAGGAATGGCTTTGTTTGCTGGATTTCTTTTTGCCCAGTTACTTTTCAAGATACAGGAGTAAAATCAGGTGGCAACCCTATCAGTCTTTCCAAAGGGGCCACATATAACTATCCTGGTTTATTTCCCAGATGCCCAGGGATGATTCTGTACTGGGCAGATGAGGTCACATTAGGCTTTGGTCACAGTATGAACCAGCCAATAATCTGCACTGTAGGGGTGAAGGTTTATGTTTCCCTGAGGTCAACATTCCCCTACATTGATGCCGATGCAGCATCTGCCAGTTGACACAACTGCAAAGCAGTGTTGAAGCTGGGAAAGAGGAGAAGGAGTCAATTATGGCAGGAAAACAGATATGGCTTCAAGAAGGAAGAGGAGGAGGGCCTTAAAGTGCAACAACAAATTCTGCGGATGCGTCTCAGACCCAGTTCTGATTTACAGCTCCCTGAATCTTGTTGACTGTCTTTGAGTTATCCAGGAACGTGTATTGCTTCTCTGCTGATTGTGACTTATTTGCGGGAGTGCATGTCCCACCCCTGAGAAGATCAAGGCTGTTGAAGTTCTGAGTGGCTTTATCAGAGTATTCTGGGCATGCGTTTGTTGAATTGTAGTCTGCTCATTGGGCATTCCCTCCACCTGCAGGTAAGGCTTAAGACAGCTGTTGCTTCCCTTGGGGTTTGTAATGCGGATGCAAAACCTGTGCTACCCAGAGTCCTTGTTCACATTGCAAATACCTTTAATTTGTTTTCTCTTCTGTTTGAATGCTAACAGAAATAGTGCAAAAGAGGCTCTGGGGTGGTGTAATGGTTCGAGTGTTGGAATGTAACCTAGGAAACCAGGGTTTGAATCTCTTCTCAGCCATGAAGCTCACTCACTGGGTGACCTTGAGCCAGTCGCTGTCTCTCAGCCTAACCTACTTCACGGGATTGTTGTGAGGATAAACTGGGGATGAGATCACTTTGGGAGAAGAGGTGGTATATAAATGTAATAAGCAAGCAAGCAAGCAAGCAAGTAAGTACCGTATTTTTCGCTCTATAACACGCACCCGACCATAACACGCACATAGTTTTTAGAGGAGGAAAATCCGTAGGCATGCCACCCGTAGGCATTTCCTCCATAACACGCACAGACATTTCCCCTTACTTTCTAGGAGGAAAAAAGTGAGTGTTATGGTGCAAAAAATATGGTAAGTTTGCTTTCATGACTAACCTGACCATAAACCATAGAGAATTCATTACCTCACACAATGTATTGTGGGCAGGGTGGGGAGCAAATTAAAGGGAAACTTGTACCATTTTGGTGGCACCTACAGTATGGGAAAGAAGGAAGGAGCCGGATCACACAACTTTAGTGAGAGGAAAATGAGCAGATGAAGAACCTACCCATTTGACAGTGACATAAAAACCCCATACATACGCTATGCAGAAGAAGGAAAATCATTACCCCGCTTCTCTCTCCTCACCTCTTTCTTCCCCCCTCAACCTCACAATGCCTATGATAGCAATGTCTCCCCCCAAATGTAACTGACCTATAGATAGGACTCTACGAACTGAAAACAGAGATGTTACAAGCAGTGCTATTTTCCTAGAAAAAGAAGTGCCAGAATTCACTATGAACGGCTCCCTTGTTCTTTTGTAATGGCAATGGCATTGGTGCCCACCAGAGAGGTGCCGGAATGGAGTTATGCTAAATTCTAGCTGAAAAAAAGCTCTGGTTATATGTACCTTTGTTATCCATGAAAATCTTTCAATCAAAACAATTTTTAAAAATATTTAGTGAGGGGATTGGGCCTCCTGTTTTCTCTTATAATCATTAGGGATAAGGGTACTCCCAGACTCTTGCTATTTTCAGGTGAGATTCAATTACATACTGGCAAATTCAAGCTGCAAAATTATAGTTAATTGGGAGGTCTTACACAATCTACTTCAGCCCCCCAATTTTGCAATAAGGAAAGTGATGGGGAAATGTACTGTAAAATGTGGGATAACACTTGCTTTTGACACAACCTCAAGCTTATCCGCATCAGAACAAAATGTGGACCCAATGTCATCCTGGACATTTCTCCTTTTAAATGCAGGGCTTTTCCTATTCTGACTTTGCAGTGATTCAGTAAAAACATATTTAAAGTGTGGGAAGGTCTGGGGGAAAATTGAGATGGGGAGGATATTGTGTGGATGCCTCTTCATTAATGGGGAGACAGTTCAGTATGAATAAACATCTTCCCAAAGTACTTACAGTCTGTGCACATGTATTTGAAATACATCATGCACATCAGATTGGCACGACACTCTACCTATGAGTGTCATTCTGTTGCCTACTCATATGGGCCTTCTGTGCAGGAAATGAAGTGGCCCTCTAAGGGGACTGAAGGGATTATTCACACCGCCATTGGGTTGTTTTCTTTTGTTTTCCTGCCTGGATCCAGCTGCACTCATGGTAAATGGGTTTTCTGACCTTGATCAGAATCTACACTGCCTCAAACCTTCAAAAATGGGTTGAATGGGGCACAGGGACACAACTCCACTTGTAGCAAGTTATTCAGATACCATATTTGTGAGGAAATTGGTTTCATTCTGGCAAAAACTCTCTCTCACTCACTCTCTCTCTCACACACACTCCAGAGTAAAGTGGTTTAATGCAAGCAGAACAATTGTGTAAATTATAACCTGTGACCCGCAAGATGTTCTGACTACCATAATCCCTGACTATGCCCATCGGGGCAGGGGCTGATGGGGGAGCTGGAGTTCAGCAAGAAGAAGATGATGATGATTAAATTAAATTTATATACTGCACTTCATCTGAGAATCACATGGCAGTTTACACTATTTAAAATGATGGGGTGGCTAAAGGATGTCAGAATATGTAATTGACATTACGCAGCCATGAGTCGGTTCTTTTACTTTTGCTTGCTTGCTTCTACCGAGAAACAATTATTATTGCCTCTCTAGCCCTATTAGTCATGGTGGAGGGCTGGCTTGCTTTTTCTTTTTAAAAGATGGACACCTGTGGGGTTTCATGGAACTGTGGGGTATTTGCATCTTATGCGTTCTGTGTCTTTAAAAAGCTTTCCTATTCACATTTGTGATACTTGGTAGAGCGAGGGCACCTGGTGTGACTCTGAAGCTGACCTTTGTGCGCTGTTAGTGGTAATACTCTGAAGGCACATCTCCCCTGAAACTACAGTTCTCCTTACTCCTTGCTGCAATAGTAAAAGGCTTGAAACTATTGTTCAATCCATGGTGGTGGTCATGCTGCTATTATTATCAACGGATTACACAGTGCTTTGTATGTGCAAAGAATTTTGCAGTCTTCATCTGTTTTGCCTTCTCAACATATTTGCGAGGTGAGTTGCAATTATTCCCAGATGGAAAAAACTGAGGTTTGGGAACAGGGGGGTGGGGCAGGAGCGTCTTTGCCAAAGGCTGCTTAGCTGGTCTGTGACTGAGCAGGGATTTGAGCTGGTGTCTTTATTCCTCCTCCCTAACCACTAGACCACACAGGTTTTTTGCCTACTACTCTGGGCTGTGACTTTCAACCTTTCCATATGTAGGAGTGTCAGCATGGGGTCTTCTCTCAGCTCTTTTTTTGACTTTTTTGATATTCTTCCCTGCCCTATGTGAAATTATAAATCTTTGCTGTTTCCATCTTTCCCCTTCCCGCCACCTTATTTTCTCCCTTTCTGCCCCACTATTTCCTTTTTGTATCTGTGGCCAATGGCACATTGGTCAGGTCACAAAACTCCACAGCTGAAGATCAGTGTCCTATGAGATCCCATAGATACAGAGGATATCTATTCTATTCTGAGTTTTCATCCCTCTCTGAGGAGAAAAAGGGCTACAGCTGATTATGCATTTTAATTCATTTAAATGCATGCAAATTTAAAATGACACACTGTTTTGCAAGGAGGCAGAGCTGAAAAGAATGTTTTTTTAAAAATCCTTGCTTAGTAACTCCCTAATTCTGTGGGTGGGTTGTCTAGTCTATGTAGTGCAATGGATTAAGGATATTCTGATTAAAAGACGGCTGACAATCTTATAGTGAAATTTTGGCATATATGGTGAAGACAGACACAATAGAAAACAAAGACTTGTGAATTCCTCAGCTGTGGGGGCAAGTCCAGCTTCCACCAGGCTTTACAATTTGAACTATTGTATAAAAGATATATATCAGTATAACAATTGCTGTTTCAGCCATCTATCTATCCCCCCTTCCATTTATATGTTCATCTGTAATTTCATACTTAAACATCATATTTCTGTGATAGTATTCAAACTGATATGTCAAAAACAATTGTACTAAATTACTATAAACCAGGCATAGTGAACAGGGGGTGTTTTGTGATATTGTAGGTCAATCAGTACAATCCACAGCTGGCTTCTGCTGTAAAAACTTGCTCCCCTTGAGTTTAGAACTTAATGTGCTGAGCCTGCTTGAAAATTGGTTCCATTGCTGTGCAAATGTTACACCTATAGAACAGTTATTGTTTCACTTGCTGAAGGTGTGTCCAAAACAGCATAGTCTGCAGCAAAAGAAGGAAAAATGAATTGCAGGTGAATCCACATCATACCTTTTGATCTATTTGAATGCCACTTCCTTTTGTTGTTATTGTTGTTTACACATTTATTTATTTTTGTACAGTTGACCTGGGAAGAATGGTAACACTGTTCTCTCCCCCCCCCCCCCGTCATTTTCCATCCCTCTCTTCTGTGATCAGAGTGTTCTTCTATTTATTTATTTTTAAGAGATGATTGCACCCATTCAGTGCCAGATCCACTTTTTTGTGTGTGTTTGCTTTGGCAAGATGCTCTTCTGAGGCTCCCTTCCAACAGAGAGAGGATGTGTAGGAAATGTGGATTTGTACTGGTACACTGAGAGAACACCTCCACTACAGACTTAATTAACGAGATTTAAAAGAAATTCCCTAGGAAGTAAATTTGTGAGTGGGACTAGGAATCTCAGTAGCATCACTAAAATACAGTTCCCTGGATTCTTGGGGGGAAGCCCAAGATGCTTAAAATGCTATACAACTAATAAAATTTTGTAAAGTAAATATGTTCTGAGAGACAAAAGGGACATGAAACAGGGCAGGTGTGGTGGGTTTGGATGCACCCCAAGGAGTTATACGCCTGACCCTTTACTCTCAAGAGGTTGCCTCAAATTGAGTCACACCAATGGTTCATCTGGCCCAGTATTGTCTGCTCTGACTGGTAATCCCTGTCAAGATTTCAGACAAGGAGGTTTTCCCAGTCCTGACTTCTGGGGATTGAAGTTGCCTGTGATGCAGATGCTGTTCCACTGAGCTGCCTCTCACATTGCTAGGCTTGTCATACCAGTTTTTACCACACACCTTCATACACTGTTTCCCCTATCCTCACAGCTACTCTTGCTGTTTGACACATGACCATAGCTCAGTGTAACGGCTCATCCAGACTTCCTTTTGTATCATGTTTCTAGGCACAGGTCTGCACTTTAAAGCTCAGTCTCTGAGCCCTAGACCCCCCCCTCCTTTTTGCCACGAAACAATTCTGCGGTAAAACCTGAACGGCCATTTGTTCAAATTCAGCGGTGAAGGTAAAGGACCCCTGACAGTTAAGTCCAATCGCAGACGACTCTGGGGTTGCGGCACTCATCTCACTTTACAGGCCAAGAGAGCCAGCGTTTGTCTGCAGACAGTTTTTTCCAGGTCATGTGGCCAGCATTCTGGCGCAATGGAACACTGAAACCAGAGCAGCGCATGGAAACGTCGTTTACCTTCCTGCTGGAGCGGTACCTATTTATTTACTTGCACGTTTTGTCATGCTTTTGAACTGCTAGGTTGGCAGGAGCAGGGCCTGAGCAACGGGAGCTCACCCCTTCTGATCGGCAAGCCCAAGAGGCTCAGTGGTTTAGACCACAGTGCCACCCGCGTCCCGGATCAGTGTTAAAGAGCAAAGAAAAAAGCACTTTGACACAGACCAGGAGAGCCCAGTGTGAGGCAAAAGATAAATGTGGGTGAGCCCATGGAGAATGTGCTGTGCAAACAGAAGGTCCAATTGCTGGCATCTTCATTTTAAGAGAATTTCAGGCAGCAGAACTTGGAAATGCCCTCCTCTGCCCAACAGCTTTGAGAAGAATCTGCGTCTGAAAGACATACTGGACTAGACAGGCCAAAGGTCTGACTCAGGGGTCTTCCAGATGGGTCTTTGTTGCAGGGTCAGTGCTGCTCATGGTGGTGATGGTGAAGTTGGAGTCTTTTTTGGTAGTATCCACACAATACAAACAGCATCAAACGCCAGCCTGTAATCTCCTGCCCTCTAATTTAATATGGATTTGCCCTTTCTGTGGAAATTCCAGCAAATTTTTAATAAATCAGTTGCCAGCTACATGTTTCCAACATCTGTTTATAATATTAAGTTCCTGTCCGGAAACACCAACACTCTGTAAGTTCCGTAAGTGGGTCTCTTTCTGGGGCCCAATTCTTAGGTTGTCCCTGCAAATATCTAACCCGCTTGTCTATTTTTCACTGTAATAATGCAAGATATTCCCTCCACCTCATTAAAATAAACATATCTAATGAGGAAAGTGATGGCATGGTCTTGCCGGCTGTGGGAGGGACCTTATGTTAATCTCTCCACTGTTTTCCCTGGAGTGAATCTTCAGACTTAGAGTTCCCTTTTAGTATCCTCCTGCTATCCTGGCTCTAGTGTGTGGCCTTGCCATCCATCAGTGCTAGGTTGTGTCTTCTCTCCTCACTACCCCCTTTGCCCCACCCAATATGATATAAGAGTCTAGAGGGGATGGGGAAGAATCTGCTTACCTGAGTTTCTTTTCACTTCTGGGGGTATAAACGATTTTTTTCTGGCCATATTGCCTTTGGAGCATAGTTTGGGGTGAGGCCTTGTCTTGGAGGTTCACACAGAATCTTATAATTGGAAGGGACCATGAGGGCTAGTCCAGCATTGCTGCTGTTCAATTTTAATTGAAATTTGATGAAGATTGTAAAAAAAAATTAATGATTCTTTGTCTTTTTATTTATTTCATGAGCCACCCTGGGTTCTCTGGGAAGGACAGAGATCCATCAGATTTCTTAAGGGGTTACTTGGAAAGGAACAGGAGTTTCTGGCATGCAACTAGATTGACTGTTGCCCATGATCATTCATCACTTCTCCTCTCAGAAATGGCCCATGTGCCTGAGGCAGACAATCCAAATTATTCCCCACCCAGTGGTAAAAAAACAAAACAACTGACAATTGACAATTTGCTTTTCTTTTATTGGTAGCTTAAAGTCTTCTGCCTGAGGCAAGTTGCCTCATTCTGTCTTATTTATATATGCTGTTTATATAGTAACATTTCAGGCTGACCTCTCAAAGAATTGTACATAAAATCATAGGATTGTAGAGTTGGAAGGGATCTTGAGGGTCATCCAGTTCAACCCCCTGCAATGCAGGAATCTTAGTGGAAGCATCCATGACAGATGGACATCTAGGCTCTGCTAAGAACCTCCAAGGAAGGAAAGTCCACTGCCTTCTGAGGGAGTCTGTTCCCCTGTCGAACCGCTCTTATCATCAGAAAATAAAATTATTTACAGTGATGAGCATCAACTAAAAATGTATACATACATTAAAACCAAAAAGGCAAAGGATTGCTTGCCTCAAATAAGCTATATCTGCTTTTTCTTCCCTCGGGGCAAGATAATGGTGAGAGTTAACATATATGAGGTAGGGTTGGCCTTTACCACTTCAACTCATGCTGTTTTTATAATTGCTATTTATTTGTTTGTTTACTGTTTTTACAGTGCAATTCTCTACATGTTTACTAAGAAGTAAGACCCATTGAGTTTCATGGGATTTAGAGTGGCCAGGTGTCCTACTTTATGAAAGCCAGTCCTCTATTTTGAAGACCTCTCTTTAAAGGTGTCTTCTGTTTGAGGGCTGCCCGACCAAGTCTGTTTTACAGATAAAGAGCCATAACAAGGGAGAGCAGGGGCGCTGAAGTTGCCCATCAACAGCATCACCTGGTCAGCAGACTCAGAAGCTGAACGGATCACCTGGTGTCTTCCTCACTATGGTGAGATGTTCTGAACTCTATTGAAATTTTAGCAATTATTTCAAAATTTTTCACCTGTACATAGAACCATGTGCAAATTTTATGTAAAATGATGCCCTCTTTCCCCCCCTTTTTTTTGGGTGATGCAAATTTTTTTTTGGGGGGGGGAACTTCCTCTCAGGTAGGTGTGTATAGGGCTGCAGCCTTGGAGACTGAGGATCTCTCACTGTAGCTGTTCAGCCAGAGTTCTTGCACAGCATCTTAAGATACAGGAAGGAAAAGCTTTGCGAAACCAACAAGCCTGTTCCCTCCTCCCCCTACACCAGTAGCAATTCTTGACAATGATCTTGTGAATCCCTCCCCCCCCATGGGCATAGCCAAGGAGGGGTGGGGGACAGCTGCCCCCCATCAAGTAAATCAGTAAAAAATACCGTATTTTTTGCTCTATAAGACTCACTTTTCCCCTCCCAAAAAGTAAGGGGAAATGTGTGTGCGTCTTATGGAGCGAATGCAGGCTGCGCAGCTATCCCAGAAGCCAGAACAGCAAGAGGGATTGCTGCTTTTGCTGATCAGCTATCCCTCTTGGTGTTCTGGCTTCTGGGATTCAGAATATTTTTTTTCTTGTTTTCCTCCTCCAAAAACTAGGTGCGTCTTGTGGTATGGTGCGTCTTATAGAGCGAAAAATACGGTACTTAACTAACTGAGGTCCCTGCCCCATAAAGTCTGCCCCCTAACATAAATCCTGGCTACACCCATGCCCCCCTTTCCTTTTTGATATTGGGTGCAGACATCTCTTTTCCATGTTCAGTAACAGAAATAAAAGAAGGGGGTGGGGACTCTAAAGGCAATTTCCCTGCTACCCTGGCAGCAGAAGCCTTGCAGCAAGACTGGCCACACACACACACACACACACACACCTTCCCCATTGTATAGTACTGGATCTGGACACTGTTACTCCAGTCTTTAGAATGAAATACATTTCTTTCACGATCTGAGTAGAAACACCTTATGGTAGCAAGGAGATTAAAGAGCATTACGAATATACCAGTCTGCACAATGTCTTCTTGAGTACGCACCCTTGGCGAACGCTTTCAAGAGGTTGTAGGAAGGAGGAGGATGGAGCATACAGTGAGAGCTTGAGATAAAATAATTATTCTTGATTTCATTACTGGGGGGAAAGGGCACAATCCACATGGCACTCCTTCTGTATGCCTATGCATTTCCGTGAACTTCCACAGCAGAACCTCCCAGTGAATTGGGCCCTGCATTAAACTGCAAACCTGTATACTTCAGAGGGGATATGGTTTAGAAAATACGAGTCTGCCTGCCATTAATGCTACAGTTTCCCAGAGGCATAAAGTTGACATTTTGTGGTTTTTAAGAATTTTAAGATAAAAATCTCATATCTTAATCATAATGTTTTCAGCAGTCTGGGATTGATGATCTAAGAGCTGGCTGGATAGCTACATTCATGTTGCCAGATGTCCCTCATATTAGATTAATGCCTCTTATTCTTGAATACAGTGGTACCTTGGTTTTCGAACGTCTCCGTTGACGAACATTTCGGTTTTCGAACGCCGTAAACCCGGAAGTAAATGCTTTGGTTTCTGAACATGCTTTGGAAGTCGAACCAGAAATGCGGCTTCTGTATTGAGTTTTCCGTATTACGTTTTCCATTTTGAGGCTTCCATACTGAGATTTCTGTTTTTGAACGTTTCAGAACGCAAGCGGTCTTCCAGAACGGATTACATTTGAAAACCAAGGTACCACTGTATTATAATCCCCTGGAACAAAATGGAAGTGCCTTAACATTTGTCCAGAAAGTAGCGATAGAATCTCTTGTCACCATTCACCATTCATCTAGTGCTCTTGGTTTACTGCTGTATCTTACAAACTGGAATGGAGGAAAGTGTCCTGTGGAAAGGGGGTGCATTTCCCCTTGGAATCTCCCATCTCCAATAGAAACCCTGTAGTACTGTTGTTGTTGTTTAGTCATTTAGTCGTGTCCGACTCTTCTTGACCCCATGGACCAGAGCATGCCAGGCACTCCTGTCTTCCCTGTAGTACTACCTTCTAAGCTACTTAAACCTTTGTGGGTCAGGCAGTTCCCAGCTTGGAGATGCTTTGATAAGGCGGTGAAAGCACATATTTGAATGGCTGAGGCTCATGAAGCTAATGTCAGAGCCATGTCAGAGCAGGCCAAAGGCCCATCTTGTCCAGCACTCTGTTCTCGCAGTGGCCAACCAGATGGCCGTGGGAAGCTCACAAGCAGAATCTGAGCACATCACCACTCTTCCCACTTGTGGTTCCTAGCAACACAGGTACTCAGAGGCTGTATAGAATCACAAAATTGTAGAGTTGGAAGGAAGCACGTGGGTCATGTAGTCTAACCTCCTGCAATGCAGGAATTTTTTTTGCCCAACATAGGGCTCAAACCCACAACCCTGAGATTAAGAGTCTTGTGCTGTACCAACTGAACATATTGCCTCCAGCACTGGTTAGTAGCCACTGATAGCTTTCTCTTCCACAAATTTGTCTAGAGGCAAAGGAACGTCTCTCTGTAAAATGTGGCAAATGTATTTAATGGGTCCTGCATCCTGTTCCCACAGTGGCATCCAGATATCTTTGGGAAACCCAGAACCGAGCAGGGCATGAGCCCAAAGCCCTCTCCTGATGTTCTTCTCCAGCACACTGCCTCCGATACTAGTCTAGTACACAGCCATTGTGGCTAGCATCCATGAACAGCTTCAGCCACCAATGAATTTGTCAAAGATTCATGGAGGAGTTCTCAAGTCCATAAGTTATTTTGTCCTATAAGACAGACGCTCAGTCCTGCTTGGAAACCACACCCAATAAGTAAGAAGGCCCTGCTGTCCAATCCCAGTTATGGTCTTGGTTTGTTATGGAGCAGGCGAAAGGAGAGGCAGAAAGACCCTTTCCACATGCTTACGAGTTTTTCTGTTCCATTATTTCCCATGTTCTAGGGGCTGAGCCTGATGCTGAAAAATGGGCTCTGGAGCCCTGCCGTAGTCAGCTCTGGGCTCAGATTAAGCCCATCTCAGAACCCTCCCTGGGTGCCGTTTTTGATACTGACTGAAAATAGAATGTGGAAACATTTCCCTGCTGGGTGGTTGTACCGCCTGAGGGAACTGTTGTCTTTAGAAATCCCTGAAAAATTGGAGCTGAATAGAGGGAGAAAATGTCTTTTTAAAATAATAATAAAAAAGCCTTTGAGTTCTGAGGCTCTCCTTCCCCCCACGTGGCTGCACCCACCAGTACATTCAACTCATGAAAAACAGATGGTGGATGGCGCAGCCACAGCTACGCAGCCCTTGCCAAGGAACGTGCCGTGCACATTCCTCCTCCGCCAATATTAGGCTGTTGCCCCATCGGCGCCCATGGAACTAGGGGGTGGAGGTGGGGAGGGAAAGCAGCAGAGGGACATTAGCTTGGTTAGCATGCAGCTAAGGGCGGCCTTCTCTTGTGGCACAAATCTTGTCTGAACGTGGCCATTTACCCCTTGTTTGCTATATTTCAGAGTGTGTGATGCTCCTGTGATACTTCTAGCCAATTTTTTTTTAGAGAGGCCAGTAAGAATCAGATTGCAGGAGATGGTGCATTTACAGACAACTTGTACAAACAGTTGTGACTTGTCGAGCTCAGCACCCGCTTTACACACACTAGTCACATATTGTGCCCAAATATGTAGCAACTTGTTCTTTTTTATATAATGCTAGGCCTGGTCAAGGTTAGTGCTGGCATTAGACAGGGTAAGCCTAAGGTGGGGAGCTATTTAATGGTGAAAAAGCAGCTAATGTTGTTGATGATTTAGTGTACAGTGGTATCTCGGGTTACATACGCTTCAGGTTACATACGCTTCAGATTACAGACTCCGCTAACCCAGAAATAGTGCTTCATTTTTTTCATTTTTTTTAAATAAAGGTTTTTATTGATACAACAAGAAAAAAGGGGAAAAAACACAAATACCAAATTACACACAAGAATAACCATAGACACATAATTTTCTTAGCAAACAATAAAACATCTATTGGTCTTAACACTAAAGACCCAACCTCCCGTCTATTCCATATTTCAAATTCATATTACTTATTGCCAATACACACTTTTATCATAATTAAACTTATTTTTAATAAATCTAATTTCTTATATCTACCTTGCAACTATTACTGAAGTTCCTCGAATGCTGCAACAGAATTTAAACTACTATATTTATTTTTCCGATATTCTTTGAAAACCTGCCATTTTGAAAAAAATTCCTGTTTTGATTTATTCTTTATTTTTTCTGATAAACCATCTAAATCGGCATATTCTGTCAGCTTTTGAATCCAATCTTGTATAGAGAAATAGTGCTTCAGGTTAAGAACTTTGCTTCAGGATGAGAACAGAAATCGTGCTCTGGTGGCGCGGCGACAGCAGGAGGCCCCATTAGCTAAAGTGGTGCTTCAGGTTAAGAATAGTTTCAGGTTAAGAACGGACCTTCGGAATGAATTAAGTACTTAACCTGAGGTACCACTGTATTATTTATTTTTATCACAGTGCAGAGTGCCATTTGGACTTTCTGCCTCAGGCACCAAAATATCTTGGGCTGATGCTGCTTAGTGAGCTTCTGGAGGACTGCCTTTGGCTTGATGAGCTCCTGAAGTTCTGCAAGCCTGCAAGTTGCCGCAAGGTCACTGGGTGTCTCAAGGTGCTAGCTGTAAACAAAGCTCTCTTATAGTTGTGGACTGGACTCGCACAGGAATCTTAGGGATAGTGTCCTCCACTGCACCTGAGAGCAGCAGACACACCTCTGGCCTCTGACGAAAGAGTACTCTCAGGTGGCTGACACCAATGCCTGGAGCATCTTCTACCTGAGATGGTCAGCTCTGTCTGCCTAATGGTAGGGCTGGTCTTCCCACATCCTGTGGTCCCACACTGCCTAATCCACCCCGGTAATTAAAAACAAATAAAGAAAAAGCATAGGCATATCTGTGCAGTGCAACTTTTGACCTGGTTTTTATGTAATGCTGAGCTGAATTATGGTGTACAATGAGTGCAATAAAATAAAAAAATTCCTTCCAGTTGCATCTTAGAGACCAATAAGTTTGTTATTGCTATGAGCTTTCGTGTGCATGCACACTTACTGGAAGGAATTTTTTTTATTTTGTTTCGACTACGGCAGACCAACACCTACCTGTAACTATGAGTGCAATAGTGTGCAGATGCTCAGAGAGAAGATGGCAGCTAATTTACTCTTCCTCCAGTCTTTCTGTTGCAGTGCTGCTGTGACCTAAGCCATGGTTTGGCTTGCTGTAGTTTTCAATCCCCAGCTCAGTGTTTGTCCCACAAGCTGTAACTGTTTGTTTGTTTGTTTGTTTGTTTGTTTGCTTGTTTGCTTGCTTGCTTGCCTACCCATCTGACTGGGTTACCCCAGCCACTCTAGGCGGTCTCCAACAAATTAAAACACAATAGGACACCAAACATTAAAAACTTCCCTGGATGAAGGTTTGTTCTATGGCTTACTGCTCACGGTTTGTCTTGAAGAGACAAACCACGAGCCCCAATTCAGAAAACACACTAAATCATGGCTTCACTCATAGCAGCAAGAGTACCAGAGGGAGGAGCAACACGGCAGCGATCTCACTGGGAGGCTACACAGTTTAAACTAAGCCATGGGTTGGCTGGGTGTTATGTGCAAACTGGGCCCGTGTATAACGTGTAGTTTGACCCTTTGTTTGGGGGCTTTGTTTTCTATTGTGCTTTTACTATTTTTTGTTGGGAGCTGCCCAACGTCACCGGGGCAACCCAGTCAGATGGGAAGAATTGTTTGTTTGTTTGTTTGTACCTCCTCCAAAATACTGCATGTGCTACACTCCAACATGAGCTGTGAATTAAGTTTAGCTGTGATAGATCCAATTTTGAGAAAGAAGTAGTTAAACCTAGTGCTCTAGTTGAGAGCACAGAGAGTGGCTACACATACTCTTTCCAGATGTCATTTTAGACTGCCGGCATGCTTGGGTCTTGTGTTAGCTAGTCTTTTTGATATTTTCTTAAAGAGCCTGGAACTAGAAATCGTGTGCTTGTAATAAACAAGCAGGATGAGGCTGGGCGGAGGTCTAGAGTCCCATCCCTACTCAGGTGGCTCGTCTGTTTCTGGGCTGACCTGCTACAGATTGCAGATGGGGAGTCTTGGGTGACCGAATGTTCCTGCAGACAAAATAATTCTCTCTACATAGATTTTTTTTTTAAAAAAAACACACTATCTCCACATAGAAATTTAGAGTGTTGGAGTGGTGTTGATGATGGAGACTAGCTTTCTGTGTGGTGGGAATTTTTTATGTGGCGGAGTATTCAGTCTGAAGCACTTTAGCCCAGATGCAGGTTTGCCACCTGAGTGGGAAGTTGGCCTAAGACTTTGGGAGAATGAGGTAGCAGGCTGCAGAGAAGGCATTGTTTGCTGCACTTTGCAGGTGCTAATTGGTTATTTTTAAGCCTAGCAATTGGTCCTAGCAATGTCATAGACATATGTACTGCTGGCCAGTTGCCATAGCGACATCCCTCACACTGTCATGTCAGTTTCCAAGGTGGGGTCAGGTGCCTGTGGCTTGACACATCTTGGGTTCCTGATGCAGGCAGTTATTTCAGGAGGAGGTGTCATCCCGCTGCATTGCATTATTGCCTCCTGCTGGGCGCTTGCTAGGCTGTTCCTGCAGAGTTCCTCTGGGGGAGCATGGCTGCCCTTTCCTCACCCATGCCTGCTGCCTGCTTCGCTTACGCGGACATCTTTCTGCACTTGCCCACCTGCATGCATCCATGCCCATCTTTCTAGGCACGTGGGGCCACTTCACAAGACCATACAGAAAATAGGCTAAAGGCAAACTTCTACTGTTGAAGTTAAGCAGATCTGGCCCTCTTAAGTTAGTTAGATGGGACACTGACTTGGACCCACATCTGAGCCACTACTACATATGATAAGAGGGTTAGTTTGCATCTTCCTGTTGATCATTTCATGACTGCAACATCAAGTTGTTGATTTGTATGTGCAAACAGGCAATCTCAGACCCATCAGAACATTACTGGCAACATTCATGGAAGTTCATTCACAAATTCGGTACGGTTAAGTGAGAGAGTCTCTGAGTAGGACCAGGGAGACCCGGGTTCAGATCTTTCCTTGGCCACGCAGCCCACTGGGTGATCTCCTCTCTCAGCCTGACCTATCTCAACAAGGTTGTTGTGAGGCTAAGATGGAAAGAAGAGAAGTGTATACAGAAGTATATGCACTCCTGGTGGCAGGATGGGATCAAAGTGTAATAAATGGATTAAGCTGCCAGTCATCAGTGCCTGGGTTGTGTGTGTGCGCGTGCGCAACACTCATTTTTCTTAAATCTGATGACTGGTAGCTGAATGTGGGAACTGATTCTGTATAAAAGCCTTGCATTGTGAGATGATGTTGTGAAATGAAAGTTTCATCTGTGGATAGTGTATCTGTGACGGTCCCATTCACAAGTAGCTCGTTGATGGGGCAACTGCCAAATAATTACTAAATTGTACCCCAAGCATATAATAATGAAGTGTAGAGAAAAGCCAAGTGGGGCACATGCATATGTGAAGTAGGTATAACCTCTTTGGAGGAAGAGCAAAGTGTCTGCATGATGTTAAACAGTAAGTAGGTATCTTTGAGATGTGAGCTGCTTGAATCTGCTGTCATAGATCTGTATGCCTGTATTGTGTTTCTCCAGCTTACACCACCATTTTCTAATACAACTGCTTTCCTCTCACCAAATTTTTAAGGCCATTTGCTATGTTTATCACAGCTTTCAAGTGAACATAACCCTGCAATTTCCAGCTTTTCATTCTAAATGTTGAGATTGGGCATTACCATTTTCTAACAGCGCCTGAGTGACACTAATATATGCTTTTGACCACTTCCAAACTGTGTTGACGTTGTTCCAACTGAGTTTGCAAAGGAGATGGATGCAGAGCTGACCTCGTAGCCTGATCAGGCATCATGTGTATAAGAACCCAAAAGGTCATGCCCCGTAACAGTGCAGGTGTGGAGCTTAGCAAAGTTTAGCGATGTTCAGTTACAACAAGGGGAGTGCAAGGTGATGTCTTCTTAATAAAGTGTTAATGGCTCTGAAGGAGGTAAGCTCTAGCTGCTGAAGGAGCCATGTGGGGTTTTGCCCTGTGAATAGTGGTGAATTGAGAGAAGCAGAAACCACCCACCTACTTCCCATGTGCATTCCAATAGGTCTCTGTTCTACAAAGTGGAGAAATTCATTTTAGCAGGGTGGAGGGTGGGAACCATCAAAAGTGATGTAATTCTGTTCACTTCTGTACTCACTTTGAATGCTCACACTGATAGGGCAGAGGCTGTAAGCTCCAGCAGCTATTTGAAAACGCAGAGCAGGTCTCACAGGCCAGGGCTATGATCTGGAGAGGCACACAGTACAGCAATCTTGGGGGGGGGGTGTAGTGGATTGTTTGCTTGATTTTGTTCTAGTTTTTATCATGTATTTGTGCTTTTATATTGTATTTATTTGTTGTGAACTGCTCCGAGATCTGTGGATGAAGGGCAGTATGCATATTTAATAAATAATAATTTGCTGGAGCTAAGGGGGTCTGGGTCTGATCAGTGCCTTGATTTAGAAATACCAGGGGCTTGAATCTGGGAGTTTCTGCCTGCAAATAATGTCATCACTGAGCTCTGGCCTGCTCCTTCTAACACCTTGGATTTCAGGTGGAGCAGTTCAGGTCAATGGGGCCCTCCAAGCCTCTCTAATGCAGCCCTCAGGACTCCCCCCAGGCCACACTTGCCCCATGTCCTCCTATGGACCCTCTTCAGTTGCTTTTGCATGTCCAGAATTGTCAGGATGCTGTCAGCGGCTCCCAGCTGGTTGCCCAGGAAAGTATAAGATAAGAAAAAGTTTCTTACATTCCTTTTTTATTTCAGTCTTTACAGAGAGAGGCTATAGAACCCAGCTCTTGGTTAATGGCATTGTCCCTAGTGAATGAGGTGTCCTCATTCATCATGCTCATCATCTCCTCTACGGGTGCTGCTACCTGCCCTCTGTCTTTGAGCTCTTTGCTCTCCTACTTTTAAGGCTCAGCGGGTTCTGAGAGATGGAGGGTCTGGAATGTTTTCAATGATATGTCAGCCAGGTGTTGCTCTGGCTCTCCCATGGTTTCCCAGCTTTCCCCCTCATCTGCCTCTGAGCTGTGACCTCCCTCAAACCCCTGTCTATCTTGTCTTCCTCCTCCTCCATGGAAGGGTCAGGATGGGGAGGTCACCTCCACCATTCCTCCTCCGCCCAGTCCCTGACAGAATGTGCCATTGAACTGTAATGACAACCAGGCTTGCCTGGTTGGAGTGAGATGGGTATGGAGAGTGTAGCTTACTGTGCAAGGTTAAGAGTTGCATCCATTCCTCTACCCAGGTTTTGCCTCTTGCACGTGGCCCTTGAGGGCTGCAAAGTGTTCCGTTCCCCTGCCTTGTGCATGCATTTGAGTGACCTTTTCTTAAATTGGGAGGAAGGGTTTCCAGACCAAAGGGTGTGCCTTCCTCCGGGAAGCCTCGAGACCAGCCTCTTTCCCCTTTAGGAAGCAAGCACGGCCTCTGCGCCTCCAGATTTGTGTGTGCTTTGAGAACGTCACAAAATCAGTCCATGTACTCACTGGTTGTGCCTGTCCTCTCCCTGCAGATCCTTACTCCATCGCAGGCAGCGATGGCAGCATCTCTGCCTCCGTGGCTTCCATCCAGCCGCAGGCATCCAGCAGCTCAGCTCCCAGCTCCCCTGCCTCCCGCCACTCGGTCAGCACCCTCAAGAAATGGCTGACCAACCCCGTGCGCAAGCTAAGTGCTGGCGGGCTACCTCGGGGCGAACGCCCACTCAGGAAACAAGAGGGCCGGGCTCGGCGGCACGGGCGCCAGGAAGATCGCAAGAGCATCGACTTGGGCCTTCTGGGGCAAGCAGAGGGGCCCTTTGCTGTCCCGCTGCAGGAGTCGGTAGGCACGGTGAGAGCAGAGAAATGCCTGTCTTGCCATGAGCTAGAAGCTGTCTTGTTTTCCCTTCTGGACTAGCTAGCCACAAGCCCCCTGCAGATGAGTTTAGGCAACTGAGACAGAAACATGCCAGAAGCAGGGGGGCTAACATCCTACGCAGGTATGCCCAAAGAGCAGTGTCCATCAGCTTCCACCAAACTAGCCATGCTGTCTGATGGGAGTGGCAGGCAAAAACATCTGGAGGGTGTGCTAGGTTGGCAGAGGCTGTTGCAAAGCAAACAGAGCACCTCTCTGTGGTGCAGTGGGTCAGTGTCTCTGGCCATTAACCAGAAGGTTTGTGGTTCAAGCCCACCCAGGGCTGTGGGCAGGTTTCCTGCATTGCAGGGCGCTGGGCCAGAGGACCTTTGTGTTGGGATACTGCCAGGGAGATAAAGTCCATCAAGGCCCCCAAGCCGTCTGCCGGACGATCCATCTACCTCCCGTAGGCACTCAGCGACATGAGTTTCTAGAAAATATCTTGTACACATTCAGACTCATGCACGCTCTATCAAGTTAGCACAGCCAAAGAGTTGCACCCAGGAGCATTATTACAGGTTTATTCAGCGTTGATCAGAACTGAAAAACATGACTGACTGCTTTAGTGTCTGCGACAACAGAGAGAAAACGAAAGCAGCAGAAAACATAAACATCCTGTGAACAGGAAATACGCAGACTCTGACTCACAAAGCCTGCTCCCTTTTAAGGTGGAACGGAAATATCCTAACACTTTGTGCTGCCTTCCAGCTCTACAATTCTGTGATATCAGTTGGACAAGTAAGCCAAGCCATGTGATGTAAGAGAAGACCACCAACAACCCCCCTCCATAATCTGCCCAAGGGAGCAGGGGGGAGGAAAATTGCAAAGCCAAATGTCGTCATTGGTGAAATCCTGAACACGAGCAGAACTCATTGACGACACCCATCACTGAATTGTCCCAAGGAATATGTAAAATGACAGATCTCTGTGCCATCCAGCATTCTTGCTTCATTGCGGCTTTTCTTTATGTCCGCAAGAGGTTTGGAAAAATAAACCTCTAATATATTGTGTATGTGTGAGTGAAGGAGAAGGTGTGGGTTTCTCCTTTCTCATCCTAGCAGGTAACTACTGAAGCACCAGAGCTAAAGTACTTTCCCCTGCATGAATCTCCCCTGGTTACTAATTCTCCTCTGCAATTTCAATCCGTACCGGTTCTCTTCACCCCTCTCCTGCAGAGAGGTCGCTGAATTTCATTTTAATATGGAACCAGGCTGGGGAATGTGGAGGTCTGTCCTGTGAAGCTTGGTTGGCACTGTGTACCTGGCAGCAGCACTTAGCTCTGGCACTGCAAATCAGGGGTTGTCAACTTGGTGCCCCCCAGGTAATGGGAGTTGTACCGCACAACATCTGGATGGCACCACGTTGACTAGCCCTGCTGTAGACGGAGTTGTAGGGGGAACAGGAGGGGGAGCCAAAGGTCCATAGTGCCGATAAGACCCTTTGCTGTTTGTGGGCTGAAAAAACAATCTCTCTTCCTCTCCCCCATTTTGTAAGTTGCTCATCTCTGTGCTGTGATAGAGTATATGGGTGTCCTCTGACATACTGTATCTTTTAAGCACACCCTTTCCCCCAAAGAATTCTGGGCAGTGTAGTTTGCCTCTTGCAGAGTTGCAGTTCCCAGCAACCCTGAGCAACCTACAGTTTTGAGGGAAAGAATATAAAGGGTTTGTGTGTGTCGCAGCCACAGCCTGATTTCTTTCCTGACACCAGATGGGGGAAAAACAAAAAATGTTTCTGGGCCCATCTGAAAGTGCTTTCTAGTGATATCCTCATCCAAAACAATAAATTAATCCAAAGGATTGCCTTTTCTAATACGAGCCTACCAGTTTAAGGAGATCTTAAACGGAAGCCAACAGTCCCTGAAATATCTGGTTGGAAGCAAGCTGAGGGCCTTTCTGGTAGCTGCACCCAAGCTTTGGAAATTCCTAAGGGAAGCCTGCCTGAACACCTTATTTTGTCTCCCCCTCCCAGTATAAATTCCATTTTTAACCCTTTTGTTAAGGGTTTGGGTTATGGGTTTTAATTTTGTTGGAAGCTGGTTGTTTTTATCAGGTTCCTTTGGGTGACATTTAGAAATCTCTGCTTCTGTTGGGGTTTTCTTTGGGGGGGGGGGGTAGATTTTTAAGGTGTTGGTTTTTTATTTCATTGTTTTACCTGATAGTTATTGGACTCTTTTTGAGCAAAGTGAGGATATAAATCAGAACACCCATATGCAAACCCGAAACACCCTATTTTTTCCGTTTTTGACAAAAATTGTCTAAGTTTACATGACTGGTGCCTGTTCCATTTCCTTGTTCTCACCCCCCATTGTGCCTTTTTGCTTTAAAACCAAACACCATTGAGATACTTAAAATCCCAAATAATGGAAAGAGAATAGATGGTGCATAATTAAGCAGTTGCACTTGATTTACATAATTCTGATTGAAGGATTTAAGTATCCCAGTGGGAAATTTTGGATTTTTAAAGAATACTGGAGGAGGCAGAATAAACAGTCCTGATTACTCTTAAAGGCTAATATTGCTTTATTCTTGCTGCATTAGGGTCAAACCACCCAAGGGGAGGGTTTAACCCCTCCCATGCCTCTGCCAGGACAGTTTGCCCCTCTGCAGGGCTTACTTCAAGCTGTTAAACACAGTGGGGGGGTGGGAAAAAATTAAAAATGGTCAGGGAGGGGCATTTACAGGGGTAAAGGTAAAGGGACCCCTGACCATTAGGTCCAGTCGTGGCCGACTCTGGGGTTGCGGCACTCATTTCGCTTTATTGGCCGAGGCAGCCAGCGTACAGCTTCCGGGTCATGTGGCCAGCATGACTAAACCGCTTCTGGCGAACCAGAGCAGCGCACAGAAATGCCGTTTACCTTCCCGCTGGAGCGGTACCTATTTAGCTACTTGCACTTTGAAGTGTTTTCGAACTGCTGGGTTGGCAGGAGTTGGGACCAAGCAACGGGAGCTCACCCTGTCGCGGGGATTTGAACCGCCGACCTTCTGATCGGCAAGTCCTAGGCTCTGTGGTTTAACCCACAGCGCCACCCACGTCTGGCACAAAAGAAAGTGCCACACTCCCGTTTGCCCCTTGCCTAGAGCAGGTCCAAGGGGTTTTCCGCTTGACCCACACTTTCTAGGAACAGGTCTGAGTGACTCTCCGCCCCCCCCGCCCCCCAAACAGCAGGACCTGAGGAAGCATGGATGAGCCCCTGGTCCCAGTATTGGTTCCTGCACAACTGAGCAAGAGAGAAGAATGGGGAGAAAATGAGAATTACGTAGTTGGCTCTGCCTGTCATTGGCTCTGGCACCTCCAACTGTTGGCTTCCATGCCTTCTGCCCTAACAGTACGAACAGGGAATTTGTATGGCAGGTTCTAGCAATGCAGTTCTCATAGGATGACTGATGATTTGGACAGGGATGGGGGGGGGAGAACCCCTGTGGCCCCCAGAAGGCTGAGCCGGGCTGCCACTCTTGTCTAACATTCTTCCCTTGCATTACAGGATAGCACTGCTCATCTCCCAGACCTTTCCCTGTTCTCCAGCCAGCTAGAAGGGGATGGCTCAGGAAAACGCACCCAGGTGAGCTTCAGGGTGATGGATGGGAGCAAAGTAAGAGGCAACGTTGTCTTGCACCAGGTTGAGGGGGCAACAATCCCCCCTCTTCTCCATGGGACCCCAGAGAGGCCTACAGTAGCTATGTGTCCTACTTTACAGAGAACAGTCCTCTATTTTGAAGGTGGGGGGGGCAGTCCTATATTTGAAAATGTTCTCTTTCTGAGGGCTTCCCAGTCCATGTCTAATTTAAGGGCAAAAGACCATAAAAGGGGCGAAAGTAGAGGCCTTGAAGTTGCTCATCAAATGTTATCAGCTCCTGGTCAGCAGACTTCAGCAGACACAACCAACGATTTTGCTCTTGCCCCACTTCTTTCCCAGGCAAATGCCAGACCAGAAAAATCCCAAATTGCTGTTTGCTGTGGTTGAATGCTAAAGAGTGGTTTTGGGGGGTGGGGGTGGGGAGAGCAGCAAACAAGAGGAAGTATGGAGAGGGGCACACAAGTCACTTTATGTCTTCCCCGCCGTGGTGAGATGGACTGTATTTCCGCAAACAATTTCATGCAGATTGGTGTCCCTTTTTTGTGACGCAAATCATTTGGGGGGCTGGGTTGTGTCTGTGCAATGCATAGCTGGCCATCCTAGAACATGCCCGTCAAAGCACCAGATTGTTTTAATGCCAGCAAAAATAGCAAGATGGAAAATGCTTCAGGTTCCAACAGAAACTGATTAGAAATAAAACAACTGTGGAATGTGGTGCAGTTAATGAAAATGACTTTTTTGAGTATGACTCGGAAAAGAGGATGATATCAAGTAAATATGAAAACAAATGGCATGTGTTTATAAATTTTTGGAATTGATTTTAGGATTATGAAGACACATTGCTTGGTTCCTTCATGGTTCTGTAAATGAATTTGAATGGTTTGTTTCTTTCCAATGTAGAGGCAGTATATAGGGCTACATAGCTGTCATAGATAGATAGATAGATAGATAGATAGATAGATAGATAGATATAGGCATTTTGAATTAAAAAAAAACCAATGAGAATATGTTTAGGTGAATGTCATTTGATTTGCGGTTTATTTGAAATGTTTTCCTCCAAAATTAGTTTTCAGCTCTATTTCAGCACTTAATCAGTCACTCATTTCCAAAAGCAGGGTATCTGCTCCAAATGGAGAAGTGTTCCGGGATCTATGATGGACATTCTTTCCTTCCCCTGGTCTTTCAGAGCCTGATGTGTTGTGAGTGAGCTTAGGGGAAATAGAAGATCCTGCTACACCTTCTTGGCCCACACAATATATTTTGTGTCTCATCATGGGTCCCCAGTGCCCCTTTCCCCAGTTAATCCACCCAATGTGATATGTTGTAAGATGTTATGGGCTCTTGTCTCTCCCCCCCTTTCTCTCACGGCAGGGCCCTGACTCTTCTCTGCTCCTTGGTGACCCTCCAAACCCCGAGCCCACTTCACAACCTCCTATGCCACCCCCAGCCTCTGAGGAACAGGAAGAGGAGGAGAGGCTCAGTGCCTTAGAAAAGAGTATGTAAGTGATTTCTCTTGTGCACCGACTTCCAGGCAGCAGTGGGAAGGGCAGGGGGAGGAGCAGCCTCTGCTGGGGAGAGCAGATGCACAGACCTGGTGGGTACCAAAACCCACCCACAAACGCAGGCACTATTTCACAAGTTTAGCAGATTCAGGGCCTTGGTGCCAAGTATGTTGAACACATGCCCCATAAAAGGTAGGCAGCTGTGTGCCTCATTTTCCCACTGCACACATTCTCTCTTTGTGGAGTGGCCCCTGGCTGTCTGCATATTCATGCCTAAAAATGTATTGAGAATGAAGGGTGAACCATGGCTGCGTAATGTTGTCCTGGTGGTATGCCTGCTGCCTCTGTAACATGTTGAGCAGCTTGCTGGCAGGGGCCTTCCTGTGGGTCATGCATGGGCCTGTGTTGAGGAGGCTGGCAGCGTGCCTGTGGCATTGGAAAGGGAGATTGGAGGGGGAAATGGAGGGGAAGGGGGTCACACAGTGAGGTTCCTTCCCCTTAGACATTGCTACTTCCTCTCCTCTGCAGGTTTGTTCTCAGGGAGTTGATTGAGACTGAGAAGATGTACGTGGAGGACCTGGGCCAGATTGTGGAGGTGCCAACATCCACTCCATTTTAGGCACTGATTCCCCTCTGTCCACCAACGGGGCCGTCTCCAGATTTTTGTGGGACCTTGGGCAAGAACCTGCTTGTCTTCCAGTGAGAGAGCACACTGCTTGCTGCTCACCTCTGTGTTTCTTGATCCGACCTCCCTGTTGTTGTCCTAGGAACCTAGGAAGGAAAGGTGGATAAAGAATCAGGCTCAGTCCCAAGAGCCCACAGTGGGCTTCCCATGGACCCAAGGCCCCTAGGCTGCTGGCTCTTGCCACATCCCACCAGTCTGTTCCATATGCTGGTATTTTAGTAGTTTTATGCCCCACCCTTTCAGAAAGAAATAAGAGTGTTTCCACCCCTGCCCACACAGTGTTCCTTCTGGTATCCAAAACCACTGCCTTCTGTGAGCAGAAATCTCCCTGCTTTTCACACACTGCTGCCCGAATGACTTTTGCCTGGCAGCAACATTGACCACAGACAATGTTAAGCAGGGTTTAATCTGAAAAAAGTACCAGTATTTGGACCCCAGTAAGGATCTCAGGCTTCTTGTTCTTCCTTTTTTGTTTTAAAAACAAGGGAAGATCAGTGTGGCATTTAACTAAGTTTTCTTCAGTGTATACTAAGGGGACCTAACTAAGGGCTCATCCACACTCAAGTTTGTCCCATGATTTCTAGTCACAAATTGTAGAAATTATTTCCATAACTTGATTTTACATGGATAAATAGCCTCCCTTATTTGAGCTGAACTTGCTGTCGATCAATAACAATGATGAAAGATAAAATATTTTTATTGAAAGATGTTCCAGTAGCACCTTAAAGACCAACTAAGTATAAGCTTTCTAGGTATGAGCTTTCGTGTGTATACACACTTCTTCAGATACTCTGAAGCAGATGTCTCTTCAACCTTATAACTGTTGATGACTGTTAATGACGGCAGTTGGTTCCACAGTGAAGGGCAAGGGATTTTTAAAGGGATAGATGACCAAAATTAGCTTTAGCGTGTATAATGGGACATGAATCCCATATCTCTACTCAGACCAGGTCTTTCCATAGTTTTTAGTTTGGTAATGAGTTGTAATTCAGCAACTTCTCTTTCAAGTGTATGTCTAAAATTCTTTTGCAATAAGACAGCTACTTTGAGATCTTGTCTAGAATGGCCTGGGAGATTGAAGTGTTATCCTATTGGTTTCTCTGTTTTATGATTCCTGGTGTCAGAAAAAATGGAAAAACAAAAAAGTTCTAATCTTTACAATCTGACACCAGGAATAATAAAACAGAGAAGTTTGACTCATTATGTGTAGCTAAACACACAAGAGGAAGCTATCAGCAGGTTGGAAGAACTGCAGGGTTTGCAAGAAGTTCAAAAAATATTCAGGGAGAAGAAACTTAGAGAGGGGGTTGTCAAAAAAAAAAAAAGATGAATGAGGACTGGACATGCTCTTTGGGCATTGAATATTGACTGGCTGACAGTTGGGGTAAGACGGCAAACTGATGGGGAAACGGGAATGGAATATCCCTAGAAGTGGCCTGGCCGGCGGGCACCCTAAACATCCCATTGCACATCCCACTTGTGAATTCAAATACTGAACTAGCTCTTTCATTGCTTCGGCTAACTAAACTAGTCAGCTTTCTGTTCTGACTTCAAGATCTCTTTCCTAGGTGGCTTCAATCAATTTAGACCTCATTTCTGTATGGGTTTTAGGTTCTTCATAATTTTTCAGCTCCTTAAATTGCATTTTCGTTTGTTGCCGAGTTTCTTTCAGAACTTTCAAAAATTGCTTTGGAGTTCACTATCCTTAACAATTTTCCACCTAGGCCGCTTAACTCTTTACCCCCCAGTGCCACAGAAGTTTAAAACAAGACATCAGCTCTGGTTCTTATACGGATCTTTTGGACACTCCTCTGTTTCCATCACTCTATTGTGACAACTGTTCCTACATCTATTCCTGGTGATTGCCTTTTAATCAGTTACCAACCCATAGAAGGGTCCATCCATCTTGACTGCTAAATATCCTTAAAAACCTTTGATAAAAGTATTTGCCCAATCTCTTTCTGAAAAGCCAAAGATACAAATCTCCACTGGCCTACCTGTATATACAGAGAATGAGAGAGATGTTTGCTGATGATTTCATAGAATTCCAAAAGATTGGTGAGGCAAAACTTACCCTTGCAAAAGCCCCGTTTATACTTCATTTCCTAAATTTTTATTTACTCATTCGTTTTAAAAACTGGATGAGGAGAGAAGCAGGGAAACCTCTCCAAGAAAGAGTGTGAGACTCCTTAATGTGCTTTTGGGGTGGGATGGGAGGGGGGAGGTTGTCCTCAGTCCAGGCTTATGATCAGTTGGGGGTCTGGGGTCCAAGGGCAGGAGCCTAGTGTTCTGGAGGAGGCTGTGAATGCTCTGAGGATTAAAGGACTTCCTTAGCAAGCATTGGTCTTATGTTCACAGTGTTGTGTGAACCGGGGTCCTCTAATGCAACAGAACCCCCTCTTCTCTTCCCACATCCCTCCAAAATCTGCTTCGGAAGGCCCTCCCACCCTCTGGAGCAGATTTTGAAGGGGCTGCAGGGAAAAGGAGGGGGAAGTTGCATTGTCCAAGTGGAAGTCTTGTTATGCAAGCAGAAAGTAGCATTGGAGACACCCTCTGTATTTAACTGTTCTAGCCTTAGTCGAATCCCTGCGACGGGGTGAGCTCCCATTGTTCGGTCCCAGCTCCTGCCCACCTAGCAGTTCAAAAGCACGTCAAAGTGCAAGTAGATAAATAGGTACCGCTCCGGCGGGAAGGTAAACGGCGTTTCCGTGCGCTGCTCTGGTTCGCCAGAAGTGGCTTAGTCCTGCTGGCCACATGACCCGGAAGCTGTACACCGGCTCCCTCGGCCAATAAAGCGAAATGAGCGCCGCAACCCCAGAGTCGGCCACGACTGGACTTAACGGTCAGGGGTACCTTTAGCCTTAATAACGCTTTCCAGCAGTGTACCTGGGACAGGGCTGCCATTTCCTGCATCTTCCCTTCCTCCCTAGTTCCTTTTTAAAAAACTAGAAAGATATTGACAGCCTTCCAAGTCCTCTCTGTAAGGAGGCTAATATAATAGTTCAGCAGTTCTTCATCTGTTCTTTAAGAACTATTGGATGAATGCCACCTGGCCGGAAAACCTTGTTCCTTCTTAATGTTTTCACTTGGTTCTAAGACAGACTGATTCAGCCTTGATAACCCTTCCAGCATGTTTTGAAGACTGAAGCAAACAATTCCTTCTGTTTCTCTGCAATTTCTCCGTCTTCCGAAAAGGTCTTGTTTTGCTTCCTTGCCATATAAAGGTCCCCCTGCCTCTTTCTGGTTTTCTGCTTCTGACACCTTTAAAGAAATAATGTATTGATATCTTCAGCAGTTTGTGCTTGAAGTTCCTTTTTGTCTCTTGCCACATTGTACATCTATGTCTTGGTTTGCTCATTTGTGCTCCTCCTTCATCTGGGCAACTGTTCCTCCTTTAATGAAAATAGTTTTGCCTTTTATAGTCTCTTTGGCTCTGCTGTTTGACTGTGTTGGATTACTGTTGAGCTTGTTTGTGCTTTTTTGCTCATCCGTGGTACATATTTTATTTGAGCCTTTATTGTTACATATTTAATATGACTTGCTATTTTTCCTTACTGTATTTTTCCATTTTGAGCATGCCTGTTCTCAAAATCAGGCCACCAGCCATTTCAACCATTTCTGCCACCTAGTTAAGGTCCTGGTTCAGCCATCTCAAATTATGCAAAAACTCAAGATTCCCCACCCCCAGCCTGTAAGCAAAAACATAGTGGTGCTAAGACGGGGGGGGGGGAGGGGGGAGGAACCAATGCCAGTCAATGCAAAATGGGGAGAATAACTACTGCACTCTAGTACATTGATTTAGATTAAAATAATTTGTTGCAAGCTCATTCTAATTCAATTGCCAAAATAAATGCAACCTGCCAACCACAATGTCCACGAGACAGAAAAATTAATGCCCTGTGCTCACCAATTTGTTCTCAAGTTAGGAAAATCAGAGTCCAACTCGCCAGCGTAGGAAATACATGCAACCACGGTCAACTGGAGCAAAATTACTGCATTAACTGAAAAGTGAAGAAATACTGGCTGCCCATTGGTCAGTACAAGGAGATGGGGGAAAGGTAGCAGGACGGCACTGCTTCCCTGGCTTGTCAATCATCCCAGCACTTTTTTTCTTTCTAGAGTTGGCCAAAATACTGGAAGGCAGGAGCAGTTTTGCTTTTTACTCACCACGTTGGTAGAATTCTGCCTCCACTCTTTCCCCTATATCTCCATAAATAAAAGGGCTGGAGACTTTTTTAAAAAAAGAGGGGGAAGATGCTGAAAATTCAGGGAAGAGCCCTTGGGTAGGGCTCATCCACACAGGAGCATAATATTGCTAAGGACCTGAGATACTGGGGTTCAGAACAAATAATGCAAATTGAGCAGCTTTAAATTGGATTTCCCTAATACATCTTGGGTGCCAATTTGGGATTCAATTGCATCTAATGCAGTGGCCCTCTTTTCAGCTCTGCAAGGCAGTGGTTTTTCAAGTGTTCAACTTTTTTGTGGTCAGACACCTGATGGGGTTGCAGAAGAGTTGGGAGGGTGTGTTCTAGGCTAGGCTCTCTGTGCAGGGTGCTGCTCCATCACCCTTCCTTGTGGACTGTATGCACCAAAGGTCTTCTGCAGCTGTTCAGGTCAGGTGGGAAATCTGGTTAATGGCAAGCTGTCTGTTGGGGAAGCCTATCTGCCATTTCTGTGGTGCTCCTTGAGGAATCCCTGATCAGCTTCTGAAGAATGCCAGGGTTCCCCTGAGCACAGTTGGAAAGCCATTGCCAAGGGTAATGTGGCTGCTTCCTCAGCGCTTCACACCAGGGTCCTGTCCATCTTCTGCGCTCTTCTGGGCACTAACTTAGCCCAGACACATTCCCCTTCATGCCACCACCCTAGCTCTGCCTCCCTGGCCTTAAAGAGGAGGCAGGCAGCCTTCTCTACCTGCTCTTCTGACTTCTGCAGGGCTATATGGCAACCATGAGTGCCCGCGGTATCCCAGAAGACATGAAGGGCAAGGACAAGATAATCTTTGGGAACATCCACCAGATCTATGACTGGCACAAAGAGTAAGTAAGCACCCATTCCTGGGTGCAGGTCATGCATTGGCTGTGGAAACCTCACAATGGGGCCGGAACGGGATGTGGCAAGGGACGCCTTTTGCTGACGGCTGGTAGCGACTCCTCTTGGATTACCTTGCCCAGGTGCTTGTGGCCAGTGTGGAACAGACAAGATGAGGGGGAGCAGCAGTGGTCCACCATCATTGAGAATTGGTGGATGAGGAGGGATGGTTGGGAAGCAAGATAACTTGTCCTGCAGATCTCACACTCTTTCTGTTCCCTCTTATCCCTGATCCCAGTTATTTACTCAAGCAGCTGGAGAAGTGTCTGGAGGACCCTGATCTTCTGGCTGAACTGTTCATAAAGCACGTGAGTCCCTGGCTTTGCTAAATAAGAACAGAAGAGCTGCCGAGCTGAGCCACAATGGGTGGTGGATAGATGAACAGGGCTCCGTGATATTCTAGGCACAGGAGGTGACAGTGGTATCAATCCTCTGTTGTTTATCCCATATGCATGTTGCCTTTGAACACAGGGGCTTTTCATTGGGCTAGAAGCACTGTAAGCTGTTGGCAGACTTCTGCCTTTACCTCTAGAATTGTTTGTGATACAAACCCAGATTCGAAATGAAATGATAACTTGATAACTACAAAATAATGAAGGGGAGGTTTGTTGTGAAGGGAAAAGCTGCTTACCTTTTTGTTAATTTGGTGATTGCTAATTGGTCCAAAACAAGTCAACAAAATTGTGCAGCTTACTAGGCTGTAGCATAATAAGGTCAAGGCAGCTTGACTGAAAAATTCTATACTTTTTTTCTTGAATGAGATAGAGAAGAAGGATGCACACTGGTTTTTTAAAAAAAGTTTTAAAAATGACATCATCATCAACAATCCTGACATGGAGGAGCATTATTGTGTGAGAACAGATAGCCTTGTACTATTATTATTTGTAAAGTGCTACCTGGTGAATAATTTCAAATTCCAGGAGGTCCCCCTAACCATTCCCTCCTTGATTTTATATTGTGTTTATTAGTGCTTTGCCTAGAAATGAGATGCTCCCATTGCCATCTCCTGCATTTTCCTAGATCTTCTGGCTCTATTTTGTCATAGAATCATAGAATCATAGAGTTGGAAGAGACCACAAGGGCCATTGAGTCCAACCCCCTGCCAAGCAGGAAACACCATCAGAGCACTCCTGACATATGGTTGTCAAGCCTCTGCTTAAAGACCTCCAAAGAAGGAGACTCCACCACACTCCTTGGCAGCAAATTCCACTGTCGAACAGCTCTTACTGTCAGGAAGTTCTTCCTAATGTTTAGGTGGAATCTTCTTTCTTGTAGTTTGGATCCATTGCTCCATGTCCGCTTCTCTGGAGCAGCAGAAAACAACCTTTCTCCCTCCTCTATGTGACATCCCTTTATATATTTGAACATGGCTATCATATCACCCCTTAACCTCCTCTTCTCCAGGCTAAACATGCCCAGCTCCCTTAGCCGTTCCTCATAAGGCATCGTTTCCAGGCCTTTGACCATTTTGGTTGCCCTCCTCTGGACACGTTCCAGTTTGTCAGTGTCCTTCTTGAACTGTGGTGCCCAGAACTGGACACAGTACTCCAGGTGAGGTCTGACCAGAGCAGAATACAGTGGCACTATTACTTCCCTTGATCTAGATGCTATACTCCTATTGATGCAGCCCAGAATTGCATTGACTTTTTTAGCTGCCGCATCACACTGTTGGCTCATGTCAAGTTTGTGGTCAACCAAGACTCCTAGATCCTTTTCACATGTACTGCTCTCAAGCCAGGTGTGCCTCTCATTTTTTTTGCCCAAGTGCAATACTTTACATTCCTCCCTGTTAAAATTCATCTTGTTTGTTTTTGCCCAGTTCTCTAATCTGTCAAGGTCGTTTTGAAGTGTGATCCTGTCCTCTGGGGTGTTAGCCACCCCTCCCAGTTTGGTGTCATCTGCAAATTTGATCAGGATGCCCTTGAGTCCATCATCCAAGTCGTTGATAAAGATGTTGAATAAGACCGGGCCCAAGACAGAACCCTGTGGCACCCCACTAGTCACTCTTCTCCAGGATGAAGAGGAACCATTGATGAGCACCCTTTGGGTTCGGTCAGTCAGCCAGTTACAAATCCACTGAGTGTCAAACTTGGATGAAGTGGACTCTAGCCTATGAAAGTTTATTATGCCATATTTGTCAGTCTGCTAAGGTGCCCTAAGAGTCTTCATTGGTTCTGAGGCAACAGATTTAACAGGGCTGCCTCCGCTGGAAATTATTCATATGTAAGAATAAATATTGCTGTTGGAAGGTTGCTTAAAAAAAAACAACCTATTTAAGAGATGACTTCACACATCTAACAAAATAGACTCTAGCCATGGAAAGCTTTTCCCAAAATAAATTTGCAGTACTATCCTTACAGCAGAACCCTTCAACACGGTGTGCTCCTTGGAGCTGACTGCCCTAGTAAGTATTCTTAGGAGGGCAGCCTTGGTAGCCTTTTAAGATACTGCAGGGCTCTGCATTAATTCTTGTAAATAAGTCATAGTCATGCATATCCAGATAAGTAGATATGAAGTGTGCCTATTTTGTACTTGGAGTACCTGCATCCTGTGGTAAGACGAAGCACTCATCAGAGCGACTGACTCGTTTAAAGTGATCATTACCAGTGTTGCTGAGCAGGGATTTGAACCTGCCTCTTTGACATACCCTCCCCAGAGTCAAGTCGCTGTGCCAGCCAAGACTACACACTTTAGATTTTGCCCCAAGTATTCTGCTGAATTGTTCCCCTGTTGTTTTTCAGGAGCGCCGTTTGCACATGTACGTTGTTTACTGTCAGAACAAACCCAAATCTGAGCATATTGTGTCCGAGTTCATTGACAACTACTTTGAGGTAGGGGGCCATGTGATTTGCTGCAGCTTTGTTGTCTCTGCTTGCTTTGTCCTTGACTGCATACATGCGATACCTTCAGAGTGCGTTTGAAGCACATTCTTACCCTTCAAAGAATTCTGGGAACTGTAATTTATCCCTCACAGTGTTGTAGTTCCTGGCAAACCACAGCACCCAGAATTCTTTGAAGGGGGAAATGTGCTTTGAACATTCTTTGAAGGTATAGTCTCTCTCCTGCTAGAATCCGCCTGCCTCCTTCTTTTCTTCACTGCCCCCTGCGCCACCCAGCGCTCGTTAATTTCAAGCTGTACTCCGAACACGAGTAAAGATGCAAAATTGCCTTTTCTCTGTTGGATTATTGGGCCAATATTGGCTCCTCTTTTTGGCAGCGGGTGTCTCTCAAAGGGTCAGATAGAGGTCTTTCTAAGTCTTGCTACTTGAGATCATTTTATATTATTATTATTATATTACATTCATATACCAGCCAGGGATCAAACCGTCAGCGTACAAGCAGTTGCGTAGGAGTTGTGCAGTGGTCCAGTGGGTGGGGACCACCCTGGGTGTCATCACTGAGAGGGGTGACAAAATGGCAAAAATATGTGGTTTTGGAAAAATACCTTTAAAGCACATTTTGTCCCCTAAAAGAATTATGGGCACTGCAGTTTACCCCTTTCAGAGTTAAAGTTCCCAGAAAACCTTATCAAACTGCAGTGCTCAGAATCCTTTGAAGGGGTGTGTACGCTTTAAATATACTTTAAAGTTACAGTGTGTGCACAGCCTAGTGAGACTTTTGACGCATAGGATAAGGGGAAGGGATCTGAGGTCTTCCTGAGAAGATGAGTGGGATGCTTTGGGAGAAACAGGAAGATTTGGAGGTGTCCTGATGGAGTGGACAGGGATTTAATAGGCAGGATGCTTGATCTCCCACACAGATCCACAGGATCCGATCTGCTTTGTTCTCTCCTTTCCAGGAACTGAAGCAGGAACTGGGGCACCGCTTACAGCTCAATGACTTGCTCATCAAACCCGTACAGCGGATCATGAAATACCAGCTGCTGCTCAAGGTGCTAACGTGGGAGGTGGAGTGTTGCTTTCCAAATCTAAGGCAAATGTGTGTGTGTGTGTGTGTGTGTGTGTGTGTAGGGGGTGAGACCAACAAGTTCCTGACCTGTAGCTAAGGAGAGACAGCAGCCAATATGTCTTCTGCTGGGTATGATATCTATAGCAGTCTTTGGCAGTGTGGACAAGTGCAGAACAGTGGTCTGTTTAATAATAATACCTTTATTGTCAATGTACAACCTGTGTACCATGAAATTAACCAAGCCTCCCTCCCTCCCCTCCCCCCCGCACAAACACTCAATCTCATTGCACTCTGTGTGCTTGTTGCACAACACACCAACCCCGAAAGTCAGTTGCACTATATTATTTTCTGTTTTAAGGGAGAGATCCTGCAGCCTCATGTCACCTGCAGGACAGCAAAACAGTCCCAATGTCACAAAAGGAGTAGCTGGGGTCTCTGTTGGCTGCCTAGCGCCACCTGATGGGTAATGGTTGTATTTGCCTCCAGAGCTGGAACCAGGGTTATAGCTGTCATATGGAGGCACTTGGTGGCTACAGTTCCTTGCAGAGTCCCACTTGCTCCCCATTTCCCCAAGCAATGAAAGGTTTGAAAGATAGCACTGCTGGGTTTAGTTCCCTTTGAAAGAAGAGAGCTCTTGAGACTTAAGGTTGTATCCAAAGTTGTCCATGCACAAGTGGGACAGACTCCTGCTTGCTTCCTCTGCCCCTTCCATGCATTCCCCACACCCCCAAATATGTTCTGGAAGATTGGGGGACAGATTTAGGGGGCATTGGGGGCTGTAGTGGGAGGAGGAGGGTAAGGTGAAGTCCTGATGCGCAAGCAGAAGTCAGCTTATGCATAATACCTGCTGTATTTACAAATATGCAAGGAGGGCATCAGTGAAGTCAGGTGAAGCAGACAGCAGTCTGAACCATTTGTTTCATAAGAACATAGGAGCCTGAAGCTGCTTCAAGCCAAAGATCCATCTAGTCCAGCATCCTGTTGTCACAGTGGCCAACCAGAGGCCTGTGGGAAACCTGCAAGCAGGATCCAAGCGCAAGAGCAACACTCTCTCCTCCTGTGGTTTCCAGCATTGCTGTCTCCAACTGTAGAGACAAAGCATAGCCGTCATGGCTGATAGCCATCTCGGTGGGGGGGCAGCACTGCCTCCGGGGGAGCAGGTGGCACTTGGAGTTGGTTGCATGGCTTGGCTCCGGTGGAATCCCACTCCTACCACTAAAGAATGCACTTGTTATTTCCTCTTTTCCCTCCCAGGATTTCCTGAAATACTATGGCAAAGCTGGCAAGGACACAGAACAGCTGGAGGTAGGATCCGGAGGCACTTGCAGCTGTTGCTCCCCAGTCCCACCCTTATGTGTGGACTGGATGTTATTACGCTGCTGCTTTCCTTCTTTCTTTCTTTCTTTCTTTCTTTCTTTCTTTCTTTCTTTATTTTTATTGAATTTTACAAGAAAATAAAAGAAAAGAAACAAAAAACAATACATAACACTGTAAACACATTTATAGACATGTTTTCCAAATTGCAAACTAAAAAAGAAAATACTTTTCATAGCCAATAATATTACCAAATTCATGCTTCAAACATTACAATATATAAATCTTAGTTAAAATATTATAAAAGACTTCCACTGCATTCACCGCACGTCTCTTAGTTATCTTGCTCGCCTTTACATCTGTTCTTCAATCATTTCTCTTCCTTAGATTCTTTCATAATCAGTCAAATCTTTATGATCTCTATATTCTTCACAAGATTAGTCTAGGCACAACCAAACTTTCATATTTGAACCCTGCTTGTATAAATATTCGTTTAAGCGTTCCCATTGTTTCTGAATTATAATTTTTGATTTATGCCTTATTAAATCCATCAATTTTGCTAACTCCAGGTACTCACATAGTTTACTCAACCATTCCCCTTTTGTTGGGATATAATTTCTTTTCCAGTGAGGGGCTACCAATGTTCTCGCTGCTGCTGTTGTTGCATACAGAAAGATGTTAATTTTGTCTTTAGGGATATCCTTACTCAAGATTCCTAATAAATATGCTCCTGCCTTTTTGATATATGATACTTTTATCAATTTTTTAATCTCTTCATGAATCATCTCCCAAAATTTTTTGATCTCTGGACATGTCCACCACATAGGGTATAGAGTGCCTTTCATTCTATTACATCTCCAACATTTATTACTATTCGATCTACAGTGGTGCCTCGCAACACGAAATTAATCCGTTCCGCGAGTCTCTTCGTCTAGCGGTTTTTTCTTCTTGCGAAGCAACCCTATTAGCGGCTTAGCGGATTAGCGCTATTAGCGGTTTAGCGGCTATTAAAGGCTTAGCGGCTTAGCGTCTTAGCTGCTAAAAGGCTATTATCGGCTTAGCGGCTTAGAAAAAGGGGGGGGGAAAGCGGAAAAAAATCTCAAGACTCGCAATACATTTTCGTATTGCGAAGCAAGCCCATAGGGAAATTCGTCCTGTGAAGCAACTCAAAAACGGAAAACCCTTTCGTCTAGCGGGTTTTCCGTCTTGCGAGGCATTCGTCTTGCGGGGCACCACTGTATTTATTTTTGCTAGTCTGTCTGGTGCCATATACCCTCTGTGGTGCATCTTCATATAATTCTCTCTTAATGAATAGCAGGCTGTAAAATTTATATATATTTTCCAAAACCTTTGATTATCTTCATAATCAATTGTATATCCTAAATCCCGTTTCCACTTTAGCATATTCTCTCCTTTGACTTTCAAATCAGGATCTGCAGAACTGTCCCATGAGGGTTACCACATGGTATGGGCATATTTTCATTCTGGGTCTGCCTTGAGAGACGGAGCAGAGGCTTCATTATGTTCCTGAGACTGCACTCATAGCTGACAGGGGTCTTGAATCCATATCTCATAATAGTGTCTGCATGGAACTATGGCCCGTCAGTCTAAACGGGGCAGGTTGTCCAGTGTTTTTTCACATGTCCTGCATCTCCTGGGTTTAATGACACTGGCGCTGCTCGCCATGGGTGCACAGCCAGCCAGTCACCGGGCTATTCTGGTCCACCGCTTTCACCCGACTGCTTTCCTTTGCCTTTCAGAGAGCTGTGGAGGTGATGTGTTTTGTTCCTAAGCGCTGCAATGACATGATGAATGTGGGGCGTCTTCAGGGCTTTGAGGTAGGCCCTGGGAATCAATGTCTGGCTTGGAGATTCTACAGATCCCATGGGAGCTAGGCTCTTAGCCCTGATTTTCCAATCAACTCTACTGCAGAAGGCACCTTAATTTTTTGCAGTGGGGGCTGTTCAAGGAAGAGAACCTTATAATTCCTCTTCAACCAGGCCTTGACCTGATTCTATGGCCTTTTAAATGTGTCTGTGGGAGAGGGGGTTATTGTTTTATTTTTGTTTTAACTATTTATTTTGTGCTTCTATCCTGTATTTTAATCTTGTGAACTGCCCTGAGATCTTTGGATAAAAGGCAGTATAATAATAATAATAATAATAATAATAATAATAACCGGCATTTTAAAATGAGGGTCCTCCACCTCTGTGTATGTTGATCTGGGAATCGTGAGCTTAAAATATAGGAACAAGTGGGTAGAAAAGGGAGAGGTAATTGAAAAAATTAGGTCTCAGGGCCTATCACATGTTGAATTTTTCAGCTTTCAAATTCCAAAAATGAGGGGTACTGAAAAGTTGGAAACATGACTTGGAAATTCAAAAGATATTTTGGTTAAATTAATATAGTTTTGTTTAGTAATGAAAATGTGTGTAAAATTGCATAGAAATTTTTAAAAACAATTGCCAAGTACTTGCATTTATTTGTTTGTTTGTTTGTTTATTACTGATTAAGCATTACCTGACATTTTCAGAAGAAGAAGAAGAAGAAAAAGTAAAATTAAAAATTATTTGGCTTTCTGAAAACAGTGTATGTGCATCTTCATTAAGCGTAGACGTTTCAAGCCAAATGTTGTCCAATCACAAAAATTATAGCAGATTTGAATTCCTCACACCCAGAAACATATTTTTAAGGCCCCTCACTGAAGCAATTTGCCCTAATCCACACCCCCTTGCCCCACTGCTTTGTCCTGAGGAAAACTGCTCTTTTGTTGTTTCCTTTGGATTGCTGTTTGTCCTGATTTAAAGCTAAAGAGTGTCTTTCCCTGGGAAAGGAGTGGAGCAAGGGGGAGACCACTTGGCCCCCTCCTTTCTAGGCAGAGGTGTGGACAAGCCCTCAGACATGTTGCGAAATATGTGGCACAGCCCTTCCTGGGAGTACACTGCTTTAAATGTAAGTGAATATTTCGGTGCTGCCTCAGATCTAAAAGAACCCAAACCCCTCTGCATATAGAAAGTTGCCAAGTAAAGAAGAAGGGTTCTAAGCTTCTCCTTGACAGGTTAGTTTTCTACAGGCAGGCAGTTTTTGAGATGGGTCAGAATTCAAAGGTGCAGCCCGTCATCTGCAAGTGGTAATTCTGAGTCTTCTGCTCTAAGAACAGGGCAGTTTTGTGCCTTCTCCCCAGCTGAGTAACTAGGATCTGCCCTCTCTTCTCCAGGGGAAACTGACTGCGCAGGGGAAGCTGCTGCAACAGAACACCTTCTGGGTGACGGAGCAGGCGGGCGGGATCCTGGCCCGGGGCCGTGAGCGGCGCATCTTTCTCTTTGAGCAGATTGTCATCTTGAGCGAGACGCTGGAGCGACGGCGTGGTCCGTATGCCGCTCCAACTTATGCCTTCAAGAGCAGCATCAAGGTATTACAGGGCTAACAGCAGAGAACCTAGGCAAGCCTGTATTCCCGTACCTATCGCTGTTTACCCCCTGTTTCTGCAGTTGTACCATGCATCTGCAGAATGTGATTGTGAGCACTGAATTTGGCATCCTGAGAGTCTATGCATGTGTATAAAATTTTATATGGCTAGAAATTGCGAGTGAAATTCAACTTGGTGCGCTATTGCAAACGTTCTGTCTGTGTAAGCGTTTCAGCTTGTGAGACAGAACAACCCCCTTTTCTCCCCCAGCGCACTGTTCTGGGGGTTCTTCTGACTCCCCTCCTCAGAGCCAATTTAGGGGTGCGCACAAGGGGAGGGAGGAGGCCCATTGCAAAAGCCCTTGCACAGGGCTTCCACTGATGGGCTCATTAGGTGAATCCTGCCTTATATAAATGTACAGTGGTGCCCCGCAAGACGAATGCCTCGCAAGACGAAAAACCCGCTAGACGAAAGGGTTTTCTGCAGGACAAATTTCCCTATGGGCTTGCTTCGCAAGACGAAAATGTCTTGCGAGTCTTGAGATTTTTTTCGCTCCCCCCCCTTTTTCTAAGCCGCTAAGCCGCTAATAGCCTTTTAGCCGCTAAGCCGCTAAGCCTTTAATAGCCGCTAAACCGCTAATAGCGCTAATCCGCTAATAGGGTTGCTTCGCAAGATGAGAAAACCGCTAGACGAAGAGACTCGCAGAATGGATTAATTTCGTCTTGCGAGGCACCACTGTATAGCCTTATGGCTGTGAAGATAGGATTGAAAGTGTGTGGGCATTGCTTGGCGTAATCTCGGGAGCAGAGAGCAGGGGTAGTGCAAAGCAAGGAAATATGGAAATTAGCTGGCTTTGCATTCTTTGTTCAGGTTTCGGAATGTAGCTTTTCTTGGCACAAGAATATAGCCTGGGCTTGGTGTGTAGAACGTTGATCTTTGTTTAAAGCACAGAGATTACACAGCCTTGGTTATATCCAGAGAACCACAGAATTTCTAGGACTTCATGAATGTGCAGATGTACCCAAATCTGTTTAATAAATAAATGCATAAATAAATAAAGGCTCTTCCTTTTGCTTGACTGCCAGGCCCTCCCTGTTTGTCCATTTTATTGCTAATAACTTCTTCTTTTTCTTGCTTTTGAATGGCCATTTCCTATCCATTATCCATCTCAATGCCAGGTCAGCTGTTTGGGCCTGGAGCCCTGTGTGGATAATGATCCCTGCAAATTTGCACTGATCTCTCGTGGCGCAGAACGGGGCACCATCCGTTACGTACTGCAGGCAGCAACGTCAGAGATTGCCCAGGCCTGGGTGGCTGACATCAGCCTCATCTTGGAGACACAACGTGACTTCCTCAATGGTAGGGGCTTCAAAGAGATGGTCTGTTCCTAACTCTCTCAGGCACCCACTGCCCTTTAAACCACACCCAGCTTTCTTCAAGGAGTGATTCCTCAATATTTCTTCCTTCATTTTCCTCACTCCTGGTCTGGATGGAATATGAAAGCTAAGATGTTTCCACAATGCTTTGCAGAAGTATAGGAAACTTCAGCTGGCTTCTAGATGGTGGCGCGGGGGCAGGGGGAATAGACAATTTTCAAAGAGTAATTTGAATTAGAGGCTACTGCCTTTCAGTGAGTTTAAATAGTTTGGTTCTTTCTGAGTGAAAGAAATGACCTAGCAATAGGTTTGTATGAGTTTGTTTTAAGTTATTTCTAATTCAACTTCTATCAGAATTGATCCAAAGTACAAAAAAAGAATATTTAAAGTGATAAACACCCCAATTCCATGCCACCATATCATATCAGCAGGAATAAAACCATAAATAAGGGCCCTGATATTTATTGAGCATTCATCCTGATTTGCTTGCACAAAGCTTATGCGGAGGTTAGGTTACATTTAGCTTCTATTGAGTATTCATTCTGATTATTTGTGTGTGGGGGGGTGTTAAATGTCAAGGACCCTTCATTTGCTACGGTATTGGAGCACTTTAATCCACTTTAAATGGTGCAAACCTACAGTTCTGGTATGCAATTGAATCACTCCTGCAAAATCAGTAGGAATGTTCATTAAAAAGGTCATCTGGAGGTACAATCCATTCTGTCTCTGTCTGTCTCTTTCTATATACCAGCCCCCGACCCCCAGCTCTAATATTACATTACCATCTTCTCATGTATGTGCAAGTCAGGCCTTAATTGTGCAATCAAGTTATGTACACGCATGTCTCAACTAGCCATACATTTTTACTTCAAGCACAAGCTGTCCTTTGGCCTTTGTGAATCGAGCCAACGCACAACTCTGGAAGGGTGGGGTGAGTCCCAAAGTAGATGGCAGAGCTGAAGTGGACTGTACGACTTCAGACTTCCAGTAAGCAGGAGGTCACATTTTTTAACCCTTTCTCAAATAAAAAGCTGAGAGATTTGTATTCTAAATCTTTCTCTCTGATTTGCTGTGTTGAGAAAAGGTAGTGTGTCGTCCCCCCCACACATAGGGGGAGCAATCAAAAATAGGATTCCCACCCTTCAGTTTGAATTCAGATAGTAAAGATTTCTACCCTGCCATTTTGCATAATGTGTAGATCAGTTCTGAATGACTCTTAACTTAAATGCATGGACTATGTCTAGGAAACCTTTCTTCCAGCAAGGGCCATGTTCCCCTAGGGGAAATCTGTTGGAGACCACATGCCAGTGTGGGCAGGGGCAGAGCCATATTCACTGCCCCATAATCTCTCAAAAGAGAGAAATAAGTGTGTGGGGATGATATTAAGAAATGGGAGTTGGGGGAGGGTGTTTGTGCATGGGATGGTGTTGCTCTTTAGAGCTGCAGTGCACCCTGGTGTGGCCTGTAGCCCCTCATCTGCTTGCTGGGCTTCCTCCTGTCCCTATCGTGCAGTTTCCAGGAGCTGCTGTCTTCTGGCACCTCAGGCACATCGAAGTGGTGGCTCCTGATGCACCACCCCTCTCCTGCTTTTCGCAACAGAAGGATGAGGGCGCTTGAGACACCTTTTGACAGTGGCTTTTGAGCATTGGAAGCTGCTTGAAGCGCACCTGCGCAGGTGGGGCTGTGGGACTTCACCCAGTGGTTCCTGCATCACTCCCCTGAGGAGTCTTTTTTTCCTTTCTTGCAGAAGATTATGTTTCACTAATGGAATTCAGAGCGTTTTGTGTTTCCAGTGCGTGACCCTGCAGTTCATTGCCCCTTTCTGTTTCCTTGCCAGCACTGCAGTCGCCCATAGAGTACCAGCGCCGAGAGAGCAAAACCCATAGCCTAGGACGCATTGGAGTCCCGCATCACTCACTGCCCGGTGGACCCAGCCGGCCCTGCTCCTCCGTCTCCATGGACCAGAGCAAGGGATCCAGCCTCCAGCCCCACAACGCCTCTCTCCCCTCCCTCTACCTTCCGGGCCCAGGCCAGCCTGAGCAACAGGCCTATGTTGAGGTAAGGTAGGAAGGTCTTAAACGGAAGATCCCTGTTGAATTAACAGCTTTGTGAGGTTTGGCTGGCACAGGTGAAGTTCCTGTTCTAGCTTTGGAATGAAAGGGGCTAGTAATTGGCAAGAGGAATTTGAAATTCAGTTCAGTGCTTACATTTGTTAAACCTCATTAACACATGTATAGTTTGCAAGAGTTACGTGAAGCAGAAAATGAAAACAATCATTTGTCATTAAAACAATCCACCATGTGTGCTGGCTTGAGATTGCATTGTACACATGCTGTCACAGAGACAAAGGAAGGTTATCTTTCCCACACAATTCATATCAGTATTGTCTAACAAAATTTCATTTTAAAAAAATGCCCAAGGGGAGATGTTCCTAAAATGTAGGCATTTAACCTCATCAGAACACAATAAGAGCCTGCAGGATCAGGCCAGTAGCCCACCTAGACCAACATCCTAAGGGCCAGTCAGAGGGCTGTGGGAAGCCTACGGGCAGAACCTGAGCACACCAACCGCTCCTCCCTTCTTGCTGTTTCCACCAACTAGTATTCAAAAGCATTACTGCATCTGAGAACCTCCTTGTTAACAGCTGCTCAACAAAAAATGAGAAATTGGAGCTCAATGCTCAGTTAGTATTTTAGTCTCATTTGTAAGCCGTCCCCCAAATATTTATATCAAGGGGCAGTGTAGATAGCTTTAAGAATAAGAAGTAAAGAAGTAAATAAATGAGACATGTTTTCCTGTTTGGGACAAAATCTTGGGGTTTATTAAACTAGAGGATATTGACCTCATCCCATGCAGATGGATTTTCTCCTTGTACCCTTTCATTGATTAATCCAGCGTGGTAACAGCTAATGGATTGGAATCATCCGCTTGCTGCAGAAGCATGTGTTGAGCAACTCCAACTGTAAGTGTTAAGTTGGGGCGAACATATCAGACGACACAGCGATTCTTCCAAAGCAGCTCTTTATTTGCAAGCTGGAACTGAGGAGCTCAGTCAGCCTGCTTATATAGAGCTCCAGAACAATTGTAACTGTTGCAACTTTCTAAAACTATCCAATCACTGAACGTCACTTTCGATCCTTCATTTGCATACAAACTATCCAATCACTGAACGTCACTTTCGATCCTTCATTTGCATACAAACTATCCAATCACTGAACGTCACTTTCGATCCTTCATTTGCATAATTATCTACAGTATCCCCCTGCTGGCCCAGGGTGAGAACTTCAGTACATAACAGTAAGAATATAATTGTGAGTGTGCTTAAGGGATGTTAGGGAGTGTGTGGTCTCTGTTAAGTGAGCTTATGCAACACAGTGTGTCACAGTTCCCCAAAGTGGAGACCAGGCTACTGGCCCTTCCGCTGCCACCAGGCAGAAGTCTTTATTTTTCTGGTTGCCTCCACCAAACAATCTAAGCTCACCTGGGTTTCAAAAAGAACACACTTAGGTAGTGTGTGGCTTGGCTTTTAAGCATAGGGTGGGCAAGAGACCACAAGGCTTTGTGAAAGAGGTTTAAATGTTCACTAAAAAAGAAGGTTTTAACATCTGAATGGTTATGTACACACAAAACAATCACCAAAGCAACCTGAGTCTGGACATCATCTGCTGCCAAGAGTAATGGGGTGGGAGGGAATTGGGTCTAGGGCCTCTGTTCTGAAACTTCAAACTGGGCAGCAGGTATTCAGGAAAAGAGGGACAGAGGAGGGGACTGTTGAGTTCCCCTTGGGTGACTAACTGGAGAGCAGCCAGGGAGACTGCTAACTCTTTCCCAGACTGCCTGGGTGAGATGACGTCTTCATCATCTCACCTGCCAGACTCTCCAGAGGGACAGGTGTGCTGCTAACCATTCCTCCCAGCATCATGGTCTCAGCCAGGCTGGTTCTGTGGCATGCTCTGTTGCCGAGGTGATGGGTGAGAGAGGTAGAACTGGAGCCAGGCAAGAGAGAAGACATGTCTGCTGCTGATAAACAAAGCCTTTAATATCCAGTCCATAGATACTTGCATGCATGCATGTGAGGATATTCACACACTCCTCCAAACATGTTGCAGGGAAGGGGAGGGTAGAGGAAATTCAGAGTAGGTTTGTTACTCATAGACATAAGCAAGCTTCACCCATTCTGAAACCATCCAAATATTGTTTGTGTTCATTAACCACTGCCAATATCATAATCATTTTTCTTCTTGTTACATTGACTGCCTCTCCTTCAATTTCCCTCTGTTTTAATTTTTCATTATAACTGTTGGAGTCATCTATCTGCTAAATAATCGTTCAGTAGTTATTGTTTTTTTCCTTGGTTATATTGTATTATTTCTGATGAGGATTATCTGTTGTTGTGATTTTTAAAAATGTTAATCACTAAAACTAAAAGTGTGAAGGAAAGACCAGGAGCCCAAAGTAGTGAACACTGTTCTGTGAAGACAGTGGTGAAGACAAGAGTGCTGATTTCTGTTCTCAGATATGAGTTGGAGGAGGAGATAGGAATGAGTGCTATGCTGTTTTAGGAGGCTTCAGGACTCTACAGGTTTCTGATTCCAGATTAGATGAAAAGGAGATCAGACTGATCTCTAATAGAGGCAGAGAGAGACACACACAAGAGATTTGCAAGAGGATGCCTATCTGTTTTCTTTTTTGGGAAATTAGATGACTTCATTTGATGAATTGGATTGCCAGAATCCCTTCCGGGTCAGGGGTCTTGTGAAACTATGACGTTTGCATGGCGTGCTTTCAATGTGAGATGTTGTTTGACTTCAGCTATGCACAAGTTGAGAGTTGACAAGCTATGCACACTTTCTCACATAATATGACACCAAATTGAGAGCACCTATCTGTGCTGGAATGTTGTCTTCTCCCCACACAGATTAAACCCACTTTGCTTTCTGCCCCCAGCCATCTCGCAGCCAAAGCTCTCCAGGGCCTGGACCAGGTCACCTACCTTCCGATGGCTCCCAGGTGCATCTCTCCAATTCCTCCCAGCAGGAGTCCCTGCACACAGTGAGTTTTGGTAGGGCAGAGGAAGTGTTCCTTTTAATCTGAGTAAGGATTCAACGTTCACAGTTGACATAACGATAATGATTCAGGTTCTGTTGCCCGTGGCCTTACTCATTCTTTCCATCAGGATTTAACTTTCATTGGGACTGACATTTTACACACACACACACACACACACACACACGTCCCCACCACCTGACCACATGTTGCCGCCGTGCCACAGAAGCCTAGGAAAAAATGCAGAATCTGGCACAGGTTGCAGAATTCAAAGCTTCTGCCTATAGTGGCCTTCCCAGTGAGAAACCACTGACATTCTTCCAAAAGAATCCCAGGGTTCCCCAAAACACAGCCTGAAATTCATTGCTGTGTTAGTAGAGTGCGTCCCCATCTCTTGCGTTGTTTACCATTGCTGATGCATTCATATGCCAGTAATTTTATTTCTGGAAAGCTTTTTGATGCTGTGCTTTCCTTCCCACAAGAGATTTTGAAAGCCTGCCATATACACTTTTCTTCCTTCCATTTACCTGCAATCTGCTCCACTCTCAGGCTGAGAACATGGGCAGACATTGCCTAATGAGCTGTCTTATGCTCTTATCTTTGGTTTTGCTTTAGAGCAGAAATGAGGAAACTGTGGCTCTTGAGAAGGCTGTTGGACTGCAACTCCCACCGTCTCTGATCATTGGCTTTGCTGGCTGGGGCTGATGGGAATGTAAGAGCATAAGACAGGCATAGGCAAACTCGGCCCTCCAGATGTTTGAGGCTACAATTCCCTGACCACTGGTCCTGTTAGCGAGGGATGATGGGAGTTGTAGTCCCAAAACATCTGGAGGGCAGAGTTTGCCTATGCCTGTCATAAGATGAGCCCCGCTTGATCATACCAAGGGTCCTTCTAGCCCAGCATCCTGTAGTCACAGCCAATCAGGAACCTATGGGAAATGCATAAGCTGATCTAAGTGCAACAGCATCCCCACCTGTGCTGGTACTGGTATCCCGAGGTGTACAATCTTCGATACTGAAGCTGTCATGACTAGTAGCCATTAAGACCCTTATTGCCCATGATGGAGGTGAAGTCCAACACATCTGAAGGACCACAGGTTCCTCATCCCTGATTGAGAGTAAGCATATATGGGCAAATTTGTTATACACAACTGATCTAGCCATAGCTATTAGCTAAAAGGAACTTCTGTGTATGTAGGACATTGCTTCTCAAAGGCTGTGGCACAAGGAGAGGATGGCAAGCATGACAGGAAGATTCAAGGAGAACAAAATAAACATTTCATTATAGCATAGTATCAAAAAAAAATTTTGCAATATGTGGATAGATATATTTCCAAAATGAGAGCAAGAGCATAAAGTGATACTGAGAACAATCATAGTTGTGATCTACAATCGCCGTCCCAGTGTATTTCTTATCAATAAAAAAAATGGTGTGGTGCAAGAAAATTTCTATTCTGAAAGTGCGATCCAAAGAAAAAAAAGGCTGAAAATCACTGATGTAGGAGATGAATTGAGGATTAAATCTGTAGATTAAAAGTTAAATTTTGTATTCCACATGTGTGGGAGACATACAAAAAGTGGGCTGTCAAGCCATTTAGCAAAGTAAAACACGTACTGCATACATTTTTGCAGTTTACTAAAGTTTAGGAATTGGGCAATTACAGCTTTTTGTCCCTTTTATTTGAGGTTTGCTGACCTCCCCTTCTTCAACTCTGCTGCAGAGAATGAACCACATAATTTAGTAAGATAAACAATTACATTTCAATGCAGGCAGCAGATACAATACAGGTAATAAAACTTATCAGGTACAAAATACAAAAGTTGGCTTCTGTAGGCTGCATCTGTCTGGACCTCCCAGATACACATTTGAACATGGTAGAAAGAGTGTCTTCTCAGAGACAGGATGAAGTATAAAAGATTATCTCTGTGGTTACAGAATTCCAGCCAGAGGAGGCAAGGAAGGTAAGCACACAGAGGGTCCTCTCTAGGAAATTTAAGTGCACTCTTTGTGTACTAGCTCTGTCTTGTCTAGCAAAGCATGCATTTGTGATTTGGCTGCAAACCCCACACTGTGGACAGAGGCAGAATACCAGAATATCTCTGAACACTAGATCTAAGTGTTGGCAACAACAGGAAAAGTCATCACCTTCATTCCCTGCCTTGCGTGTTTCAAAGAGGCATCATGTTGGCTGCTGCTGAGACACAGAATGTTGGATTTGATGCACCTTGGCCTGATCCAGCAAGGCAGTACTTAAGATGATTAATCTGCATAATTTATGCAGAATGCAGCTTTTTGTAGCACAGAATTGGATCACCCCGTAGTAGATATATTGAACCAAAGTATTACACTGTCTTACCTGTTGATAAGATAAAGCCAATGGGTGTGCAGTGGCAGGAGCTCTGCGGTGGGAGTCTTGCAAAATACGTCTCAGGAACCTTTCCAGAGTTTTCATTGTTCCTCTGTCCCTGACAGGCCCCAAGTGATGACGACGCCAGGCCGCTGCTCCCTGATCCTGAAGTCCCGGAAATCAGTTTCCCTCAAGGCTGTGCTCAACTTGCCCAACTTGATGAGGATGAGCTGTGACTCTTGGACTGTGAGAAAGCCCCTGTCAGACCAGTGGGGTGGGGGCTTTGACTGATCTAACTAGCTCTTCCCTCTTCTCCTCCTACCCTCCCTCCTTCTGCTGTCTCCAAGGGAAAGAGAGACACAGCAGCAGCATGGTGCAAACTCTTGCTGCCCTCTGGTCCTGCTCTGTTTGCCCAGACACCCCCTCATCCTATGAAAGGGGCGCAGAACCCCCACATTGGGACCAGAGAGTGCCGCTGGTGGCCCTTCCCTTTTCTCCAGACCCCTGTATATGCATGCTGTGGGGCTGTACGGGCTTCAGGTCGGGGCTCTTGGACGAGGAGTTGGATTGTGTGAATTGAGAATTTTATTTTGTTTGTTGTAATAATAAAGATTTTAGTTAAAACAAACAAGGAGACAAATTGCTTCAGGACACCTCTGTCTTCTTGCAGGCTCTTCCATGAGTAACTTGTGCACGTGCTAGATCCCCTTCTCTTGGCCTTGCACTTTATTTAGGGCAAACCTTGTTGGCCAGTTTCACAACATCTTCCTTTACACTGCTTCCCCTCCTAGCACTGAAGAGATATACACAGAGAGAGAGAGTGTGTACACACATGCATATACATACACATATATCTGTAATTAGAAATGAAAAATGGCCCTTAGCCTCTGACACATGAAGAAGGGAACCACCTTTATTAGCAGTTTTAGAATCTTGCCCAAGAGTGTTTTCCCCCACTCTGTTTTCTGAAAGAATGGGCTAGCCTAAGGAAGTTAGACCCAGTTCAAAGTTTACTTTTGAACTCACAATAAGTGACAAGATACATATGTGATACTGCCAAGTTGTGAACATTGCAGGTACATTTTAAATGGCTGGTTGGTTAAACACAGAAGCAGACACCCTTTCCCAGTCGCTGCTTCATGTTTACTGTGGAATAGTCCAGCTACTTTAAGCTTGTGTTTGCTGTTCACAGTTGATGACTTAAATTTTGCCATTTGTACATTTTTGCCCAACTTCTGAAAATACGAATCTGTATTGTGTGGTACATGTGTTTGGCTGCGTGCAGCCTTGGCATTATTATAATTATATTTAACCTATCCCAGATAATTCACAAAGTGCAAGAGAAGGAAGCACATTTGAAGGTGAAGGTGAAGATCAATTCTCATGGGCAAATGTGGTGTTAAGGAAAAATATTAGGAAGTAGTGTGTGTGTGTGTGTTTATACACGCATGTGCATCAGTGCAGATGAAGCTTAAGTAGGCAAGTCTTCTCTTCTGCATGCACAAACACTGTGGTAATAACCAGGGACCATTATTTGGTGCTTGTACCCCCAAGCAACACTTTCTCCACAACAGTTGTTTGAGACAGCGTAAAAGACCAGATCTAGGGGTAGAAGCTTGATCCAAGCCAAAAGCCTCCTTGTGGTTCCTTCAGTTTCAGCAGACGCTGCCCCCAGGTTCTCAAGTTATACTTTGAAACCAAAAGGACTAAACACCTTTAAAAATGTTTGTGGGATGGCGACTTGTGTGGAGTATAGGAAAGCCTACAAAAGACACACAGCGCTGCCTCCAAATATATCTGACATCCAGAATCAGGTTACTAGCTTGATTCCAAATATCCTTTTGCCATTCCTGTCCATTTTTGCCCCTCACTGGAACCTGATTTGGGCTCACAGGGCAGGTCAGCATGTTTTGTTACTACACTGGTTTTGCATTTTCATTCTGAAGGAGAGGCAGTTGAAGGTTTTCAGCCTCGGGTGCCAAAATATTCAGTACGTTGACACCACTGGCTGTTCTACTTCAAGCAGAAAAATGTTTTGGGATGATCCTGCTAAGGGACTTCTCTGTTATCTCCCATTAACATCAGAACAGACATCAAGAAAGACTCCCAAATCTGGGCAATCCCATTGTGCTGTTTGTCTGCTAATAGGATTTGGCTTTACCTGACAGAGGAAAGGGTCAGGAAGAATGGCTTCTTCCATCAACTCCCTTCTTTTTAACAAGAGTCAGAAGTGCAGAGATGCAAATGAATGAAGCTCGGCTCTTTTACACATCAAAGGCAGCTCGGCCTATTTTAACAAAGGAGGATCTGCTCAGATGATGCTGATGGTGTTACAGACCTGCCTGTGAAGTCTGCAGCAAGAAACACAAAAAACTATTTTCAATTAAGCAGTTTTGCACTTCTTTCCTGCACTTGGAAAGTAGAACCTTCCTTGGCTACAATGGCTGATTGGCTTATTTTGCACAGCCCTACAAAAATAATGAGAGGTCAAAAGCTCTGCCATGAGAAAAATACTCAAAAGTGTGCTAGGGTGAGGTGGTGGTTTTAGCATGTACTACCACATCTGGCTGAACATGTTTTTGAATGTTCCTTGTTTAAAGTACTACCTGCAAATAGCAACCTAGCACTTTAGGCAGGAAAAATTAGCATTACTGCTACCCCTAGGTGTGCTTGTTTACTTTTAAAAAGATGTTTTTAAAAACTGGAGGGGTATTTAAAAACATGGCACCCACATGCACTCTGGTAGACGTCCCTTATAAGATGTTACAGAGAGGCAAAATGGGGGCTGAGGAAGGCATGGTGTACTGCCCACTGACCTCAGGCAACATGATGCCTCTTTCTGTAATGTTGTAGAGAGCACCTGCATTAAAGGATTAATGCGTGGGTCTTCCTGTCTTCTTTTTGGCTCTACGAAGAAACAGACTGTCACTCTGTAGTCTTCTTCATTATCTTTGTTTTCTCTTGGGACCAAACTAGATAGGTGGGGAAATCGTGCGTATGTTGAACATGTGTTTGTGCTGTTGACATAGAAAGGCGGAGGAAATTCAGAGCAGGAAAATCAGAAATACTCGTTACACCAGCATTGGGCGGGGGAGGGAGCCAAATGTGCCCCTCCCCCACCTCTGTAGCCTTAATTCGTTTCCCACCTGCCTGGGTCCCTTCAGGTGTCAGGAGCTGGCTGAGAGGAAACTGCTTAGAACGGAGGAAAGGAAAAGGATGGGGGGAGGAGATTGTGCTTCCATTTTGTGTTGAAGCTTAGCCCCCACCCTCACCTGTGTCCAGCCCAAAACATTTTGCCACCTGAGGCAGAGCAGCAACCACTGCACCTCCCATAATGTCAAAAGGTGTCTAGTGCCAAGTCTGACCAAGTTGCTTTGTCACCCGAGGCAGAAAAGCCCACAAGCTCCTCTCCCTGGGGGTTAAAATTCAATAATTACATTAAAGAGTTGACCATTTGCTACCCTTTTATGACATTCAAATTTAGCTGCCTGAGGCAGACGCCCCTCACCCCTTGCTTTACATGTGAATGGGCCCAGTCATGTGATGGGATTGTGGCATCTACAGTGGCATTTGCTGGCTTCATAATTTTAGGCTTTGGTTCCTCCTGTGTGGCATCGAGGAGAAACAAGATTCACATCAGGATATGATGTTTTGGTTAGAACAGCAAAAAAGGAAAGGAAGCAAAAGACCAGATTATGAGTAAGGGATGGGGATGCCCAACCCTGTAACCCTAGGGTTGCCATGTGTCTGGGATTTCCTGGACATGTCCTCTTTTGGGGGGCCAACATGCCCATTGGCAGACTTTTACATTTAACAGGAAATGTCCGGGTTTGGGGTTTTGTTTTGTTTTTTTGGGGGGACACATGCGCGCTCAGGAGGGCGACGTTGACCTGCTGTGCCCTGGAAGCAGAAGTGCCGTGTGAAGCCAGAGGAGAGCGCATGGGAGGTCTGCAGCGACTGCCCTCTGGAACAAGGCCTTCTGCAGTGAAGATCAGGTAGGAGCTGGGATCCTGCCTCTGCCTTCAGCCTGGTACTAGCATTGCTGCCGCCAAGCCATTTACTTGGATGATGGACTCAAGGGCATCCTGATCAAATTTGCAGATGACACCAAATTGGGAGGGGTGGCTAACACCCCAGAGGACAGGATCACACTTCAAAACGACCTTGACAGATTAGAGAACTGGGCCAAAACAAACAAGATGAATTTTAACAGGAGAAATGTAAAGTATTGCACTTGGGCAAAAAAATGAGAGGCACAAATACAAGATGGGGACACCTGGCTTGAGAGCAGTACATGTGAAAAGGATCTAGGAGTCTTGGTTGACCACAAACTTGACATGAGCCAACGGTGTGACGCGGCAGCTAAAAAGCCAATGCAATTCTGGGCTGCATCAATAGGAGTATAGCATCTAGATCAAGGGAAGTAATAGTGCCACTGTATTCTGCTCTGGTCAGACCTCACCTGGAGTACTGTGTCCAGTTCTGGGCACCACAGTTCAAGAAGGACACTGACAAACTGGAACGTGTCCAGAGGAGGGCAACCAAAATGGTCAAAGGCCTGGAAACGATGCCTTATGAGGAACGGCTAAGAGAGCTGGGCATGTTTAGCCTGGAGAAGAGGAGGTTAAGGGGTGATATGATAGCCATGTTCAAATATATAAAAGGATGTCACATAGAGGAGGGAGAAAGGTTGTTTTCTGCTGCTCCAGAGAAGCGGACCCGGAGCAATGGATCCAAACTACAAGAAAGAAGATTCCACCTAAACATTAGGAAGAACTTCCTGACAGTAAGAGCTGTTCGACAGTGGAATTTGCTGCCAAGGAGTGTGGTGGAGTCTCCTTCTTTGGAGGTCTTTAAGCAGAGGCTTGACAACCATATGTCAGGAGTGCTCTGATGGTGTTTCCTGCTTGGCAGGGGGTTGGACTCGATGGCCCTTGTGGTCTCTTCCAACTCTATGATTCTATGGTTCTATGATTCTATGATTCTAAGCCCACACCCCTCTTTCCCCGACACAGGCTGGCAGTGGCCACTTCAGTTTCCAGAGAGTGGTGTGCAAGTTCTGCCACATACAATGGAACTTCACAGAAGACACAATTTAAGTCACCCTGAAATAAGATATTTGAGCCCTCCAAATCATTTACCCATATATGGGCACAGAAAATAGTAAGTCTAGCTGAAGGGCAACACATGGAGATCTGCATCCATCATCACAATGCATCCCTATTATTGTTTTATAGCAGTGTTTCCCAAACTTAGGTCTCCAGCTGTTTTTGGACTACAGTTCCCATGTTCCCAGACCACTGGCCCTGCTAGCTAGGGATGATGGGAGATGTAGTCCAAAAACAGCTGGAGACCCAAGTTTGGGAACACACTGTTGTATAGTATAATTATGAGGCCATTGCATTATCTTAGAAGGGGGCACAGATGTTGAGGAGGCACAGCTATGACTGTTATGAAGGGAGCCTGCACTTCTGAATCTGCCACTTTGCTACTGGGAGGGAGCTTGTATATGCATGCATTTTTACATGGGTGTGCAGTAGCAGAGTCGGGTGGGGTGGATGCACTTACCTGGCTTCCTGGTAGTGACTTTGCTGCTCCTTACAGGAAGGGAGAGTGGGAGGGGAAAGGCAGTGCACGAAGGTTGGTGCTGTGCAAAGGAACTGGCAGAAGTGCTGCATTAGCCTCAGTGCAGACACACAGTGCCCACCTCCCCACCACCTTGTCCTTCCCCCACACTCTAGCCTTTCTAGAACTTCACCCAACTGCATCTATCATGATTAATAAAGTCAGGAACCAGCATCAGGTTCTGCCGCCCCCCCACTTGCTCATTCCCCTCCACCCTGTGCACACTGGGGATCTTGGGTGTTTAAACCAGACTTTCCCATTTTCTCTGAAATGAGGAACTGTGATTGAATGTCAGTTTACAAAGCAGGATATTATATATAATCATCATATGGGGTGAGGGAGAACACTGAGTCATGAAAATCCCCACCTGCTGTCCGAAGTGTACAGTCCAGGAACCTCAACTGTGTGCATGAACTACACCTTGTAGTGAAAAACAAAGCATGGGAACCATGTGGTATGGAAAGAGGACTACAAAAACCATTCAAGGTCCCAGATACCAGCATTGCATGTTTTGAAGCAAGGATCTGGTTTGTAGGAGAGAGGCCAACACAAAGTTGGGGAAATATTTCAAATTCCCATGGATCAATATCAAGTGTTTATAGACATAGGGGATATTCCCCCCAGTGCTGTGCTGTGAATAATATGCATTTGGTGGTGAGAGAAGGTGATATGGGGATCAAGGCTAGTTGAAGACTACTGCTTCTGGATGAACTGTGTCCACCTGTGCTGGTATGTGGCTTGCATAGAACAAGCATGCTGAATTGAGTTCAATCCCCTCGTCAGTACCGGCATGGAGATAGGAGTCTGCATTCACTTGTAGCTTTGTAGATACGGATGTGGGCAGGTAGGCTTTCTCCAGCATTTCAATGCATGCATTTGAAGAGGGGATTCTAAGCCAGTGAGAGTGCATTTCAACGCTTCTGGTTTAAATTGATTTAACTCCCTTTTCCAATGGAATGTCAGGGCCCAAGAATCCACAGCATCTCACCAAGCTACAGTTCCTGTGATCCTTTGGGCGGGGGGACTGACTCAGGAGGTGAATAGGCTGGCAGTGCCGCCGACTGGGACAGGGAGTGAAATTAGCTCAGGAGTACCTCAGTCTTCTCATTGCTTCCTTGAACCCACCGCCACCCTTTGGGCTCCATTTCTGTCCCCTCCATCCCCTCAGCATCACTCCTGCTTGATGCCCACTGCTGCCGCCACCATGGCCATGCCCCGCATTCGCTTTCCTTGGTGGGTCTTGACATGCTTTGCTAGGTGGTCGCTCCGCATAAACCTCTTGGGGCACAGCTGGCAGCCGAAGCGCTTCTCGCCTGTGTGCGTCCGAAGGTGCCTCTGCAGCTCATCCGAGCGGGTGAAACTTTTCCCACAGTAGAGCCAGGAGCAGATGAAGGGGCGTTCGCCCGCGTGCCAGCGGAGGTGGGCCTTCAGGTGGGACGTTTTGCCATAGACCTTGCCACAGCCTGGCAGGTGGCAGATGTGTTGCTTCTTTCTGCCTGGCTCCTCGCTGGCTCCATTCACTGCCTGGCAGTTGGGGCACTTGCAGCGGCGGCAGCGGCGAGTGGTACCCAGGAGCCCCTTGGGAGTGCCCTGCAGGAGAGCAGCAAGAGGGGGCTGGGGGCTTAGGACCAGCGGCCGGCCCAGAGAGAAGTTGCCTGGTTGCTGCAGGCTCCACCAAGGGCCATCATCCGTGGAGGTGGTTCCTGGAGGAGGAGCTGGGCCCAAAGGCCGGGGCCCTTGCAAAAAGCTAGAGAAGTCCTGGGCCTCTGGGAAGGCATAAGAGTGTGGCACTGTGGGTGCCAGCATCTTGACAGGCGACAGCTCAAAGGAGTAGGTGGGCTCAGCTGGCGGAGTCAGGGGCAGTTCATGGGCAGAGCCACTGCTGGCTGGCCCTTGCCCGTGGTAGGGAACCTTGGGCAGCCCAAAAGCCATGGTTGTGTGTGAGCCTGATGGGACCTCATTGCTCCAGAGTTGGAACATCCCCACAGATTCATAAGCTGCTGAACTGCTTGCTGATAAATGGGGAGCAGTGGGCACTGCTGCAAAAGTCAAGCTGGGGTGGCAGGCAGTGGCGTCCTCTGGGGAGGAGTTGCAGGTCCAGCCCTGAAGCAGAGAGAAGGAAAAAGGACTGAGCGACAACACTGACTTCAATAATCCCTAATTCCTAAAACATAATCATTCTGGGCCCTAAACCCTGCTCAAGTAGACTACCTCATCTCCTATAAATGTCTCTTTGTTCCTGTTAGAACAATTGGTAACTGCATTCTCTCTCTCTCTCTCTCTCTCTCTCTCTCTCTCTCTCACACACACACACACACACACACACAGAGAGAGAGAGAGAGAGAGAGAGAGAGAGAGAGAGAGAGAGATCTCCACTGCTTCAGGAGTGCTATGTGACATTGAGCTTCACTGTTACTTGCATTAGCTGTCAGAAGAAAGGAGTTGTCAAGCTCCAGGCTTTGTTCAGCAGCTGCTACAACAGGAACTGTGACTGGGCAATCGTTCCTGACCCTCACCTGCCCATATGGGGCAAAGCAGATACTGAGCAGATGCACCACTAAGGCAAGGCACCTGGGAATATTCTTAGAACATAATACAGATGTTCGTGTACCACAGGTGGCAGGGGACTGGTTTCAGAAGTGCAACCAGTTCATAAGTGTGCAATTCGCTTTTGGTACTGGCTCTCGTACAGGAATATGTCTACAAACAAAAGCTATTCTAGAGTAGTACCTTTCCTTAGGATCAGCCAAAAATGTTACCAAGTAAATGAACAAGCTTTCGAGTTCTCCCGAATCTTCTTCAGGCTGGATGCCAATCAAACAATCAAAATAGAGAAGAAGTACAGCATCGATAAAATGCTTTGGATGTCTTACAAAAAGAAAAAAGAAAAATCCACAGAAAAAAACAATTGTACAGAACGTATTAAAAAAAATACAAAATACAATTAAAACAAAACAAAAAACATAAGGAAAAGCTGCAATGTAAAACTTCCTAGCAGAGCTTGGAAGAAAATGATGACCACAGAACTTCTCCTGTGTGCTATAATAATAATGTCACAGGCTGCACTCTTTGGAGTTTTAACACAATGCCCTACTCTCCCTCCCCTCCCTCCCTCCCTCCCTCACTGCCCCCACCAATTTGGGCTAATATCCAGTCTGAATAAGAGTTTTGGAGAACTCCAAATGTTTCTGATGACTTTTTGGTATTTTGACCAGACCTTATAAAGGTATTACCCTACAGTAGATTTGGGATTTTTGCTGCTGGACCAACACAGCTATCTACAATTTTTGTATTTTTACAACTAGTATTTCTGATTATTACCAGAATGTTACTTCCAGCGGATTCTTACAACTGTGTTTCAGGTTAAATTTTCATAACTCCACAGACATTCCTCCCTGCAAGTTTATATGGGAACAAAGGGTTACTATTTCACTTGCACTATCTGGAGCCAGAATAATCTTCCCAGCGCCTTCCTCTCCTAAACAGAAGCACATGAAGCCACCTTATGCACAGTCAGTCCCTTGGTCTATTGAGCTCAGTGCTGCCTACACTGACTGGCAGTGGCTCGCCAGGGTTTCGGCCAGGAGTCTTTTCCCAGCCATACCTGGAGACAGAACCTGGAACTTTTTGCATGCAAGGCAGGTTCTCCAACTCTAAATTACCCTTTCTGTTAAAAAGTAAATTAGCCACAAAGCAAAGAGATGAGCAGATATAAATGAGGGAGAGGAAAAGGTGACTTCTGTTTCCCTCTGTGTTTTGGAAGCTTTCAAATTTCCAAACTGGCTGTGCTCAAACTACCTTTCATGCTGTGGGGGATCAAGGCTGGTCGAAGACATTTTGCTGCCTGAGGTGAAAGAGCAAATGGCACCCGTCTCCCAACATCCAAAAGTCAAGACACATAGTACCCAAGGCCGGTCACGTTAGTCTGGCACGTGAGACTGACCCCCCCCATCTCTCCCCTCCTCCCCGATGATTCAGCAAGCTGGACAGTGCTAGCCCAAGACAGTTTTCTACCTGAAGTGGCACCAAATGACCCCCCCCTCTCTGTACCAGGGCCAACACGTTTTGAAGTCTTGCTGCCCACATCCAGGCACCAATTCCTGCTGTTCATCTCCCATCACTGCATGGGGGTTACAGATCTCTATTAGAAGGTGCTGGTGACACTGCTAAATGGCACAACCCCCTTTAACCATGTGAACTATATAATTTTGTGAACTCTTTCCATGTTTTGATACATACATACATATATATTAATGTATTTTAAAAAAATAATAATAAAAGACAGAACTGTTCTCTGCTCTATCCACTGGAGTGCAGGAGTCCCCGGGAAATACAGAAAAAAGGCATTTCTAAAATAATATCAATTCTTTTTGCATTTTGGAGAAGTTTTTGTTTTAAATTTTTTATGTGATTTCCCCTCCCTCTGACAAGTTTACAGCTCGCCTGATTCATTTTCCAAAAAAGTGATGGACACGATCCCTTAGTGTAGCGTGGCTATACCATTCCCAGTCCCCCATAGATTAGGTATGGGTTGCATACTTCTCTACTACTTTTGAATGTGGGACAGCCCTGCAAATCCAGAAAGGCTGGACTTTCTTAAAGCGTATTTTGGCTGATCATCCAAAGAAGACCTAGATCTCTCTTTTTAAAAAAACTGGTTTGGGGAGAAGCACTACCCACTCATAAGGAGCCAAAAGCAGTATTTTGTCCATATGATAACCAAAGGGCTTGTGTCCATGACTGAGTTTATTTCATTTGTGCAAAAAAAATGTTAAGATGCTTTCACACACATACAAAAGCCCCACTGTAACAACAGCAAACTGTCCATTTTTCAAAATTGTGTTTTTTGTCAACATGAGGGATCAGAGCAGTCAGCTGGTTTTTCTGCACTGGGCACCAAAAGGGGAGACTGAGCGGAGATATGATAGCCATCTTCAAATATCTCAAGGTCACATGGAAGATCATAGAATTGTAGAATTGGAAGGGACCCCAAGGGTCATCTAGTCCAACCCCCTGCAATGCAGCAATCTCAGATAAAGCATCCAGGACATATGGCCATCCAACCTCTTCTTAAAAGCCCTCAAAGAAGGAGAGTCCACAACCTGCCAAGGGAGACCATTCCACTGTCAAACAGCTCTTACCTTCAGAAAGTTCTTCCTGATGTTTAGTCGGAATCTCCTGTCTTGTAACTTGAAGGCATTAGTTCAAGTCCTACCATCCAGAGCAGGAGAAAACAAGCTTGCTCCATTTTCTTTGTGATAGCCCTTGAGATATTTGAGGATGGCTATCATATCTCCTCTCAGTCTGCTTTTTCCCCAGGCTAAACATACCCAGCTCCTTCAACCTTTCCTCATAAGGCTTGGTTTCCGGGTCCTTGATCATCTTGGTTGCCCTCCTCTGCACACGTTCCCGCTTGTGCACATGTTTCAACCTCCTTCTTAAATTGTGTTGCTCAGAATTGGACACAGTATTCCAGGTGTCGTTTGACCAAGGCAGAATCGAGTGGCACTATTATTTTCCTTGATCTGGACACTATACTTCTGTTGACGAAGCCTAGAATAGCATTAGCTTTTTTTGCTGCTGCATCACACTGTTGGCTCATGCTAAGATGGAGCAAGCTTGTTTTCTCCTACTCTGGAGGGTAGGACCCAAACCAATGGCTTTAAGTTACAAGAAAGGAGATTCCAACGAAACAACAGGAATAACTTTCTCACAGTAAGAGCTGTTTGACAGCAAAATAGACTCTCTCAGGAGGCGGCGGAGTCTCCTTCCTTGGAGGGTTTTAAGCAGAGGTTGGATGGGCATTTGTCATTTGAGATTCCTGCATTGCAGGGGGCTGGACTAGATGACTCTCAGGGTCACTTCCAACTCTAGAATTCTATGATTCTATGATCTTGATTGAGCCTTATTTAGAAGGGACTTACAGTAGAGACCCTGAGGACAACTACAAAGTATTTAACATAGATTCCTCCTTCCTCCTTTTTGTTTCTTATCCCTCAGATCTGCAAGGAGATAGTTAAGTATTCACTGCCTATCATCAGCCTCATGTTAGAACATCAGCAAAATCCTTTCCCTGTGGAAGTGCTCTTCTTTAGTTAGCACAGGAATAATCATCTGCCAGAAGGTTGAGATTATATGCACAAAAGAACTCTCTGTGCAGACAAAACCAACAATCCATTCTAGTGGTCAACTAGGTGCTCCTGAAAAATTAATGCCCGGGACAAGCTAGAGACAGGGGTCGCCAAAGTGGTGCCCTCCAGCTGTTTGGAGGGCCACACGATACCCACCCTTCCCCTGTTGCTTATCTGACAATTACAGGCACACCCTGAAAACAATATTAATGTTACAATTCCTAATGCACACTTACTATGAAGTAAGCTTCATTGAATTCAAGCAGACTTATTTCTGAGGGAACTCCAGGAGGGAATATTAACAGGATTACTTTGCCCACTCATTGTTCTGGAAGCTGATTGAGGAAACATGTATCTTTCCAAATGTTTAGGTGGAGTGTGTCTCACATCTTAATCTGGTGGGGGGGACCTTTTTCGTAGCGCTGGTATCAAAAGTTTGATATAGAATGGCACAGAACTTGGATCTGTCTTGGCAGGGATTCAAAGACTTTGATGCAAGAAGACAGTATCAGTCATGTAAGAAGTGAATATACCCAATTATTACTATTGAGCCTAACAAAGGAGCTTATCCCTAGAAGGCAGGCAGATTTTAATATTGAGCCTAACAGCAGCAGGCAGAGTTGCAGCAACCAAGTCAGAAATGAATAAACAACTGTCAGTGTATGTGGATTGAGTCCCAGTTTTCCTGGGAGTAAGTCCCAATGAAGGGATTTTTCCTGAGCAAATGTATATTGGAAATTGGGCTTCCTTCCTGGGTATACATGTATAGGATTGTGCTGTAGGACTGCAGTTGTAAATAAACTTACATTTTCAGTTTGGAAGTGGAAAGTGTTCCATGCCTCTACTGTCAAAGCTGCTTCTAGCAGCTCTCAGAAAACAGAATTTATCTCCCAGAAACAACATTTATTCATTTAAAGGTGGTGCCACCCTCTCCAAAATAAGTAAAAGGCTACTTCCCTGAGCAGACACCCCTCCCCCCCCCAAAAAACACCAGGAACTTGTTTTCTTCTTAGGTACATCCATTATACTGGGCTGCATGGCACTAGGAAGTTCCTTCTGCTAAGAATGCATCCGGCGGCTTTTTGAGACAAGCATTATATTTTGATCTCAGTCCCCATCTCCAATATGGAGGTAATATAATGCTATTAGTATAATAATTAATATACGTAATAATGCCTTACAGGCCTATTGTCAAGATAACTGAGATAATGCATTTAAGCACTTTCTCAGAAGTGTGAAATAAATT